TATTTCTTACTTATAATTGTTGGTAATATTAGTTTGATGCACAAAATACATATTGTCAGTAATTGTGGGTAAATTTAAACTATTTATTTGTTTTTAATAAAAAATTCACAATACAAGTGAAATCAAAATGATTTGATAAAAATAAAAGAATAAACAGATACTGTTTTGTACTGTATTTTGATCCAAATGAGGAAACTGTATTTTTGATATCCATTATGATGACACACAATGCATTTGCTTTGACAATTATTTGTACTACATAAAATACTTTATATAATATAAAAATTTGTGTGTTCAGAATTTCTGTAATATATATTTTATATTTGGTCTATGCCAGGGCACCTATGGCATGTATGTCCAAAGTGGCACATAGGGAGAAATCATCTCACATGTAATGTATCATGTGATTTCAGTGCATCACCTGTTTTTTCAATTATCCTTTCAGTTTGTTATCATCCTTTTTAAATCAACTTTGTTACATTTATTCTAATTAAGGCACATTTATTTCTTTTCATTAAATATTGTTATTCAAAGTCTAAAACTTTGGCAAGGCATAAACATTTTTAAAGATAAATATGCTTACTATATGGTCTGTGCTGCATGAGGGAATTCCCTATAACATTTGTACATTGTGCATGTGTGTCTAAATATTAATACTATTTACATCCTGACATAAAAAAGAAATTGTTAAGTAAAAAGCTATAAAAATGTTTGTTTTTTTATTTTCTATTAAGGTGATCCTTAAATAATTATAAAGCAACTCTGAATATTATGTAACACTGTTTTTTTCACAGCATTAATTTTTGAATCTGTTAAAATTATCTGTTTTTGAATAAGTAGATGCAATATTGCAGTATCTCTTACAGCAAATTCCAGAAATGTCCCCAGAGACTACAAAATCCAGGGGAGCGAGATCTAGATACCTAGCTTTCTGATTCTAAGGGCGATTATCCAATTGGAAAAGCGATTTTAAAAGAAAAACCAGAATACCTTTAAGCAAATAGTAACATTATCTAGTAAGGTATGAGACATACAGCTTACAGGTCTTGTATGCAATACTGTGCATATAACTTTAATGTCATTAGAAATTTCTAATGACATTAGTTATATGCAGTGAGTAGTAAAGACATTGCTAATCACTGTACCGTAATTTTACAGGCACCCTTTATGAATTAAATATTTATGTAAAACTTCACTTTTATTCAAATTTTTCCTTTAAATTAATTAAACCTTTTCCACTGCACAATAACTTTTAACACACCCTGTACTTAAATTCGAGAGTTTATAACTATTATTATTACAGTTCTTAAATTAACTATGACAAGAATGTGAAAATTATGTAAGCAAACTGTATCAAACAAATTGACAATGCTAAGCAAAATCTCGAGTTCTCTGATTAACAAGATGAGGACTATACCTGGAAATAAGCAGTCTTAACTATCAAGAAAAAACAACTAACTCACTTGTCTGTTTGTGGATATCAAATATAAATTATGCTTTTTGGAATTAAAACTGTTTTCGTATTAAACAGAAGAGGAATAAATATTAAATTTATCTAGTTAAGAAAGTTTCCCTTGTATAAAGTTAAACAGTTACAATGTTCCGATTTCTATTTTTGTCATCATGCTCTAAATCTCCAGCTCTCTATTGATAGTTCCAAAACAGTTGGTTAAATAATTCTGCAAGATTTGATATATCCAGATTACTTTAACTGTTGATCTTTAACTTATATTAAGGCTCTTTTTAAAGCATTCTAGATAATATATATTGGTTGCAGTGTAAAATAAGGTATTATTACAGACAAATTATATGCTACCTTACAGAAATTAGTGCCTTTTTTTTTAAATATATCTTAGCTCTTAAATACATAAAATCAGTACTGATTTGATATATTTTTTGTTAAATTATTGAAAATTAAGAAGTAAAAATATAAATTAAAAAAATAAGAGTAATAAAAGCAATTTTTTAAAGAAATCTTGCAAGGAAAATAAGATGATAATATAATAAATATATCATTAAATAAATGGAAAAATTCATTACAGAACTTCTAAAAAAATTTTAAGTTTCAATAATCAGCAAAAATATAATAAATTATAGAAAGGTCCTTGCTGCATCCATAATAACTGAAGCATCAACATAAAATTATTTATATTTACTTTATTAGTGTACACACCTGTTAGTAATCTACAAATGTAAACCGGCAATTAAGTCAAGTAAACTTAATGCTGTTTAAAATCTTTATATAAAACCATATTTTCTATATTTGTAATATTTTTATAAAGATATATTAAATTGAGAATTTCTTCTAACTTATATTTCGTCTAATGGACAAACACTCAGATCTCAAATGATCTAAATAAAAGGAAATTTGGATAATATTTTCCAATGCGTGAATTATTGTTGGGTTGTTCAACATAATACCAATATACCATCGAGTTTGTTAGTAAAATTTCTTTTTGAGCAGTAAAAATATAGGACATACTGTATTATTTTGTTTTTAAAGTGCACTTTACTTTTTAAAAATGTATTTTCAGGTAGAATTTAATCTCTTAATCATTAAACTTTTTTTTATAAATAAACTATAATAAGGTTTTATCATTAATGTGTGTGAAATAAATAGGAAACCATAAAAGTTTAATTATATAAACTTTAAGAATAAATACTCTGCTTCTTTACTTCTAAATTTCAATTTTTCAAGATCTTCAAATTTAAAACATCAATTTTTAATTTGAACATGAGAAGAAAAAGCACATGTTAAGCTAAAATCAATACAGTATACATATAAACTTGGATAATTATAGAAATAATAATATAAACGAGTATCTGTCAAGTTAAATCCTCAAATTATAATATTCATTTCCTCCTTATTTTAGAAATTAGAAACACATTAAGTACTAAAACAGTTATTATAATCAAATAAATTTCATATACATTAAGCAGTCATCTAGCAACTTACAAAATGTATAAATAAATTTCTTATTTCATTCATTAAATTCATCTTAAGCGAAAGAAAAGTGGATTTGAATGTTTAAAAACGAACTGATCAACAAACATCATCAAAAAAGTGTAGTTAAGATCCATCAATACACATTCCATTTTAATATAATTGAACTGTAATTTGGTTCAAAATATAATGCTTTATTTAATAAAACATTTTTAAATAATTAGAAAATTTATTAACAAGACAAATTTCTTATTTATGAATGCTAAAGAAATATTTAATTAAAAGTTGCTTTGATTTGTGTATACAAAAAAAAAAAAAATCCATAAAAGTCATTTACTAAACTCAGCTGCAGAATTATAAACTAGAATTTACTTCAAATGACTAAATTTATTTATAATAAAAAGGTTTATTTTTATAAATATTCCTTAAATTATCTGAAAAATTCCAATCTTTATTTCTCTATAAGACATTTTAGTTTTAAGAAATTTGTTTAATTTCCTAATTTTATATTATTTTTCCAAAATATGTCATCGAGCAGTTGATTTTAAAACAATTTTTGAAAAAGGAACATTCATTACATCGTTAGTCAATCAACCGACTGAAAAAGTTGATTATCTCGCTTTGATAAAAGTCCGAAAATGATAAAACTTCCAAGATACAATACAAATTAACACATCGTTCGCTAATAGATTCTCTTTACTATCTATTAATCCGCCCCTCAAAGATCTTATAATTAAAACAAAGCTACATGCTAAGATCTAGAATAATTCTCAAATATTCAGTTATTCTACATATACTTAAGCTTAAATTTAAAAAAATAAGAGTTTAGATTTGAAAGTTTCATCATACATGAAATTATTATTCAATGAACTCAAACTAGGTCTACCATTTTATTTGTTTCTAAACTTGGATAGATACCGAAGTCAAGAGGTTTCATAACATTTTTCCTAGTTAACAGATGCTAAATTAGTCACGTTCGTGTATCTTATGTTTAAATAATACTACAAGATGTAGACATATTCACATCATTACTACAACATAAACACAGTGAACGGCCGGATTCTTTATTGAGCCGCAAGACCGATAAAGAATCCAGCCGTTCGTTTGGTATTTGAAGTAATTATTGGGTTACTTTTATGTATTATATACAAAAATTTAACATATAAAATATAATACAATACAAATCTTAAACCATTGGATATATAATTACGAAGAACAGTTACATTTGTTATATAAAAAAGTAGGGCACGAAATCTCAGTCATTGCCTATAACGAGTATAAACAATATAAAGTGTTTGAGATTTGTTTACGCCCAGAAATTATAAATTTCTAAATTCTCTCCGAGGATCAGGACCGACGGGAGATAGGAGATGGTTATATTTTTCCAAGATTACAAGCAAGGGCAAAGTTAAGCCAAATAGAAGTTTCACGACCACTAGAGATACAGGATAAATTCTGAGGGTATTCACCTTTACGGGGAAAAATCACCACAGAAAAGATATTAACAGAGATAGGCATGTTAATTTGTGTTTCATTACGATCAATATTATTTTAATTTTTAAAAAATTCTACATTTTGAATAAATTTAAATTAAGAGAATGTTTATATTTTATATCATGCAATATTCATTTTAATAATATTTATAAATTTTGTGTAATTGATGAGATAACATATTTTGAATTTTTAAATTTATATCATGTGTCTTCCTTGTATGTTAAATAACACACCAACAAATCTAAGTTCGTTGTAATAAATGACATTTTCGTGTTTTTATATAAAAACAACTAAAAACTATAACACAAAATGGGTTGGAATGAGAAAAATATATACATTTTTTTTCATTTATATATATATAAAGTTGCAAAGGATGACGGGAGAGGCAGTTAAAAACAAATGAGCAAAGGATGATGGGAAAGACAGTTAAAAACAAATGAGCAAAGGTTGACGGGATAGACAGATCGGTCGCGTGGAATGACGGGAGTCGCGCGTCTATCCGTACGCCTCCGAGATAGAAAATAGGGCGGTAGATTTCGACATCGAACGATTTTATACTTACCAACTTCTTTCCACATAGCGAGATGGGTGGCCAAGAAACCATCTTTGATAGCTTTTAACACGAGATCGTCGTCTTTCGACCAGAAATTCCTCTGATTGACGATGTAATCCATCAAATGTTCTTTGGCAAACAATGCTGCTTCGCGTCCACCGTGTCCGTCGAAGATACCAAAGTAGGCATATTCTAAATCCTTTTCGTCTTCCGTTTGCTGATAGGCGACGACGAAAGCGTCCTCCATATACTTCCTACCACCCTGATTACAGTGTCCCGTAACTCTTAAATTAACACCGATCGTGGGTGCCATGTTAAGGAAAAATCTCCGAACCAGTCGCACCCTTTTCTATTCAATTCTAGTCCGCCTGACGTCATCGCTTATCGCGGGAGACCATTGGACCGATTCGAAAATGACGTCTGCGCACGTGACTCTTAGCCTCTACGATAGGCTGATACGCTAGTGTTTAATTGCTAATAGTCATTGGTTGGTTGTTGTTGTTTCGGATCTTTAAATGGAGGCTAATTCCATGTCGGGTCAGCTGTTTTCGGGGTTGTTTTTTCTTGTCGTGCAGACAATCAGGTCACTGCTTATTTTCTGTTTTGAAATTGAAGGATATGGCTCGATATTTTCTATATATTAATAAATAATTCTTCTATCTCAAAGAATCTTCGCGTATATATTAAAAAAATCTTCTCTCTCGATATATTCCACAGTAAATATCGCGGATTTCTTAAAATTTACCTACTTAAACCAATTAAAAACGTGAAAATAAGCTTTTATAATTTGTAAAAAATAAACTTATATATTAATAAAGTAAATAAAGTTATTAATAAAACGCTCTTTTAATTATTTTATAGAACAATAATAATCTGTACAATAATAAATAAATTTTGGTTAATTTAAATTAAACTAATTAAATATTTAAGCTTTATTTTTATATTTTTATTTATTTTTTCTATCCATTTATTTATAAAAAATATTAAAAAAAATATTAATTTATCCATTTAAAAACAATGCTCCCTTGTTATATTCTACACTAAAAGTCTGGAATATTTGGAAATACATAAGTGAATTTAAAAATTTTTAAATAGTTTATTTTTTCGTAAATTATAAGGCTTAATTTATATATAATAATTATTATGTACAGAATTAAGTATATATTATGTACAAAGGATGAAATTAAAATTTATAAGTTTGTCATCTATAATATTAAATAAAGAAAAACATACCGTTTACAAATTTATTTTCCTGTGGAAACATGTCAACAAGGATTTTCGTGTAGGGACATGTGGATGTGTATAGTAGGTTTATTGTATCAGTTTGAATGAATATACTTTAAATAGGTAAACTGAAAATTTTAACTATTTAATTATATAAACATTATATAATTAACATTTTTAAAATTTATTTTCATTTATATAATTTAATTTAAAGCTTTATTAATTAAAAAATTAATATATGTGGACAGACAGGCAATGATTTTTAAAATATTTTTATATTTAATTATTTAATTTAATTTATATTTAATCAACAAAATGCAATATTACTTGCAAACCTTCCAAATTTGTTTAAAGGCAGAAATTATCAACTTTTAATAAATTAAATTTGTATTTTTTTTTTACAGTTTGTTCCAGAAATTAACCCCTGTTAACTGACTTTTGGGCCATCCTGTATATTCAATTAATTAAAAATGTTTATTATCATCCAATTTAAAAAAATAATAAATATTTTTGCTCATAAATAAAAAAATAAAAAAAAAATTACATTCATTCAAAGTGGTGGTTTACTCCACTCAAACAGGAAAAGTCTTGTTAACATATTTTCTAGAAGAAACACGTGAGTTTATATTTATAAATAGTCAGTTTATAAATAATAATACAGTATTTAAAAAAATGAATTTAATTAATATTTATTAAATTATATAATAGACAAATGTTATATACAAATATCATCATGACTAATTCTAGATATAAATGATTTTAGATAAAATATTTTTATTTATATTCTTCTTGTTTTAACTTGTTTGATAATTAAAATTTAATTAATTAATTAATTCTTTTATATTTATGCTTCATTTATTTTCCAGTCCATTTTTATATAACATTAACTACAATAATTATATATTTTTCTTTTACTTAAACGCTTCTATTAATTTTAAGTAAATTAATTTCTTGTAATATATTAATAGTTAGTCCATTATAAGTTATATTATAATTTTTTAAATTGTTGTTTTTATTTATTTTTAATTTTAATCAGCCAATTAAAGTACAAATAGACGATACATCGCTTCTATTTAATTTATATAACCATCATTTTCAGTGTTTTTTTTCACGTACTAAAGTTATAGAATCATTCTAGAATACACTTGTTACGAGTTTTTGCTTGAAATTTTCTATTTAAATTTAAACAATTAGTAGCAGATTGTAGAGAGAATATATTCCATAATATTGCATTTAATTAATTCATAATTAATGAAAAATATGTTTATATTTATGTTTAATTTTTCTAAAATTTTACATTTTAATTAATTTATTAATTGAAAATTAAAGAGAAATATTCTAATATTTATACTTCATTTTCTGTATTTTTATATATTAATTAAATCTAAAAATTAACGAATTGCAAATTACAGAGAAATCATTTTTTCTATAATATTTAAATTTTTGAATTTTTAAACTGTTACGTAACAATACTCGATGAAATTAACATTTAAACTAATTGATCAATAACGTATTATAGAAAAATATCTATAGTTTTTTACATTAATTATAGAAAAAAAAGTACAGGAAATTGACGGTTGTTTACAAATTATTATAAAAGATTAACACAGATTAAATCATTATACAGTAGTTGTAATGAGCTAATAATAATGTAATATTTAAAACGGATTTTCCCGCTTTTTTTTTTAAATATTTAATTTAAAAATAAATGTGTTAAAATCCAGTTTAAACTTAATTAAAAATTTATACTTAAAAAAAACAGGAAATATAAAATAATATTTATCACGGTGAGTAACATTTTAAAATATATTTTTTTTGCTGAGGTCAAAATATTCTACAAATAAAACAAATTTGTTCACGTAAGGGCTTACTAATTAATAAATTAATTAACATTAAATCGAATTTAATAATAATAATAATAATTGAATTTTTAGGGATTTTTTTAAGGGGAATTTCCTCCATTTAAGTCTCATTAAGATTGAGAGATTAAATAAGGAAAATGGTTTTAACTTCCGAGAATTTTAATCCCTTTCTGTATGTAAGGATATTCTTTAAGAAACATGACGTTGATGTGGTGAATAATAAGCATTCTTTCTACATCAGCTAATCGATAATTAACGCACGAGTAACTCTACTATACTGTTTAAGTAAAAAGCGTGTATCGACTGCTAAGTTTGCTAGACGTCAACCGGTCGATTTTATATTTAAATTCTTATTTTATAAAGATTTCTAGTAACGAAAAAAAAAATTAATCATAATGTAATTTAAAAGAAAAATAATCTACAACGCTAATTAAATTAGCATTTATCATGAGATATCGTTTACAAAATGGATACCTTCTGCTACAGTCCTCGATGGTGAAGAGTGTAAAATTACATCAAAATTTGTACATTTTTTACAGAATTTTATTATTTTCTATTGCGTTAAAACATTGTAAATTGTGTGTAGTACTTATTTACGTATTTTTATTCTATATTATTGCGTTTATTTTGTTTTTTAATTATATTTTTGATAAGTTTTCCTCTATGTATGTTACATTGCCGAGTCGCCGGTTTTCGATTTCTAGTACAGAAAAAATTAAATAAATTTGTAAAATAATCGTAGAAAATAGTCTAGATCACTAATTAAAATTAACATTTATCATGAAATATCATTTACAGAATTGGCATGTTTTTTTTGCTGAAATCCTCAATGGTGAAGAGTATAAACTGTTAACAAAATGTACACTTTTAAGGAAAACTTATTATTTTATCTTGTGTTAAAATATTTTAAATAGTTTATGACATTTATTTCCACCGTTTTACTTAATAACATTACAAATTTTTAATTTTAAAATATTCTTTGGTAATTTTTTTCGCTGACAGTGAGTATTATACGTTGCGAATCTCTGTATTTCGATTTCTAGTAACATTATAATAATAATTTATCATAGCTAATTTTAAAGAAAAAAAATAGTCTAGCTCATTAATTAAATGAGCACTTATGAGAAAATGGATAATTTTTGTAGCAATCCTCAACGATGTAATGTATAAACTGGTATTATAATGTACACTTTTTAGAGAGGTTTACTACTTTATATTGTATTAAAATATTGTAAATAGTGTAGAGTACTTATTTACACGTTTTTACTCAATATTATTTTAATAATTGTTTTTGCTGAACGTAGTACGTCCTCATAGTTGTCAATCACTTTTCCTTCTGTTGTTATAGACACAACATAAGTTCTAGAACGGGCGTATCGTTTGTAAAATTGTATATTTTACTGTAATAAATCAATAAATAAGTAAAAAAATGATTTTCTTATGTTTAAATTATTGAATTTCTCCATTTTACTTTATTAAAAACTCGATCTTACGCATAAACACGCAATATTTTCTAGTTTTTTTTTTTTTTAAAAAAAGAAAAACATTACTTCCAAGTATTTTCGAATGTATCTAGAATCACAAGTAGCTTTTATCATATAAAAAAACACATTTTATGTGACTTAAATCACTCAAAAAACCATAAATATTCCTTAAAAACACACACACAGCAATCGAATAATTAGTTATATATATTCAAAACTCGTAATAATTTTTTTTTGATAAATGAATATTATCAGTTCAGCAATCGAGAATTTATTATTATTATTATTATTCAACTTCTTCGGAATAATAATAATTTAATTAGATATTTAAATTCATGGAGGGTCGAAGTAAGTTGCGTCACACTACTAAGCGCGAGATACTTAGTTTCGTAGCTAACGTCATCGCTTTTCATGTTCAAACTTGCGCTCATTGTTACCTACAGGACACGTTTTCGTGTCTGGACATATCATTGGTACATTTTTTGTCTTGCATTTTTAACGTTTACTGATCACGTATGAGGTATTTTTCATAATGTTTAATAGTCATTAAGCGACTTTCATACGTTTGTATAATCGAGTTATTACATAAAATGCTAATAGATTATCCATGTGTTTAATAATTAATTAAATTCTACCGAATTTATCTTTAGTAAATTAGAAAAATTGCTTTTAATTTGCCTTTTTTATTTCCTGTGTCGCCAGTGCTTTAAAGATGATTAATTTAATACGTCAAAAATATTTTTTTTGGTCGCGTAATTAGAGTAATTTTATAAAGTTTATGACAGAATAATTTACTTTAAAATTAATTTTTTTTTAAATATAATTTTAAATTCATTTTTCCGTTAAACATCGTACGTCGTCATACGTGTCAATTTATCATTCGTCTATTGTTATAGATAAATTATGCGCTCCGGAATGGTCATATCGTTCGTTAAAGTGCGAATTTCTCTGTAAAAAAAACGCAAATAGGAAGCAGATTTTTGGTTTTTAGGAGCGTAAAAATGTATAAATTTATCTTTTAACATAATAAACTTTGTATAAAATCGATTTAATGAACATAAATTCGTCTTTAAAACGCATAAACAAAAGTGTAAATTCGCTTTAATTTTCCTTAAAAGTGCCTAATTTTAGCCTTAAAATACTGTAAAATTTCATAAATTCATCATTATAATGGTATTAATAGCACAGATTCATCATTAATGTCATTGGTATCCCACGGTGACATTAATATGGAAAGTATTACTCCATAATTAATGAAAAATTCACCAAGTCTGATAATTTATGATGCAAATTTTGGCTACAAAACCTCTAAAAAAATCCCCGAAAATTTTGTTTTCTCGACTTAATGTTATCTTTAGATCTTTTGACCTTTAGAAGCGAGCTTCCCAGTTGTGCATTAAAGGAAACGATGTCGAAATGGGAATACCATTCTGAGAATTGGGTTTCTTGTTGTACTAAAAACAGAAAATCTTTCGTCTCTACTAATTTATAGAAGATTGATCCTTAAAGTTAGAAACGAAAATCGAAAAATATCCTCAATTCCTTGGTTAAGGAGTTTCTAATGAATTGAAACATTAAGTGACAGCGTTTTTTTTTTTACCTAAGTTCGTTCCACCCGGATTCTATTCAAAACAAAGACATCTATTAGTCGAATTTATTGGAATTTTATTGTTTAAATCTAAAAAAAATGTCCGTTCTAGATGGATTTAGATATAAAATTACTCGATTTTTTTAGACATTTTTTTCTAAGGAATGCTTCAAAATTATTTAATTTACGTATTCTTAAATACACGCTGTGCTATGACGTACAGCAATATCTAATATATTTATCAATATAATTAAGAACTAACATAAATTTAGTAAGGATATAATATACTTTATGGCATTCAAATTTGCCAAAAATCTAATGAAATTTTTCCAAAGATTGTATATTTTTTTAAAATCTTTTCTTTTTTTGGGGTACTCTATTATTATAGATAAATACTATATTCTAGAACAGACATATCGCTTATTAAATTGCGAATTTCTTTGCAATAAATCCATTAAGTGAGCAGATTTTCGATTTTAGAAGCTTAAAAATATATAAATTTACTTTAAAAATTCACTTAAAAGTATATACAAGAAGTGTTTTCGTGTAAAATATACTCTTACATGAAATTTCCTATGTAAATTTATGTGCAATTCATATAACTTTTAAATTTACTGCAGTGTTTTTGGGTCCCACTCGTGATTCATTGAGTGTATTTTCCTCTCTATAACTTTGAATTATTATACTTTTTATGTACAATTACTATTATTTTAGATACCGAAACAGTATCGTAATGAAACTTTCCATGTAAACACTCGTTTCAATTCAGATCAAAGAGAAACAAGTTCAGACTTCCTACTACAGAATCATGAGTCATACCACATGACTCAATATCGTGGGTGCAGTATGGAGATAACGCTATTGCTTATTGTTCTTCCCACATAATCTATTAATTTTTACTTGATTTTAATATCAAACTATCGTAAGCAACGCGAAGTTTCACGAATTTAAAACAAAAATTTCACTGATACGTTTCTCCTGAGGGTGTCAATAAGTTATCGTGAGGAAAAATCGGAAAATTTAAGTAATTTTCCCCCAATTTAACTACATTTAAAGCATTAATTTTTCTCGTTTTAATGCAGGTAAAGTCACTATTTATCACATTTAGATGCAACTTCACCCCTGTAAGGTTGCTTTTTCTTAACTCGCCGGTAAAGTTATATTTTAATATATCTATTTTTAGTAAATATGTCCCACGTGTACATTTTTTAGATGGTTCTCTCCCCTCACATACAAGCTATTTTTATAGGAAAAAAATTTTGCGAATTTTAAGTTTTCTACCGAGGAATTTCTAGCAAAAAAGAAATTACAGAATTAAGTAAAATATTAGATTTTAATCCAATTTATAACGTCCCTAATATTAAATTTCATAAAAAAAAGACGAAGAAATGTCTATAAATTCACTCGAATTTTGTATAAAATCAAATATTAAAACTGATTTAAAGAATCAAATTGCTCATTGCATAACGCGTTAAGGAATTTACCAAAGTAAAAACATTCTCCCTATTCTTCTCGGATAGAATTCATATATTTAAGTTGCATTTAATAGGAAAAGTCTTAAATTGTATTGCTTATACTTAATTCACATGCAATACCATAAATTTCACGTGTTGCAAGGAACTTCGATGTATGAAGTACCTCTTTGCATCAGTCAGATATGGTTTAATATTTTATTTATTTTTTTAAATTATACATTTAAAGTCATAAATTAGACTTTTGAGATAAACTTCTAACCGTAAATCATCCATTTATCCGGAAAGATGAAGAGATTTTTAAGAATATTAAAGAGATTTTGCTATATAAATTATCAGGAGCGTGTTGTGTCTGGAGATTATTTTCATAAATTCTAAAAATATGAAAGTGTTTTGTTTGATAACTATAAATAGACTAAACAAATTCGACTTTCTTATAAATTTCTCAAACTAAATGAACGATTTAAGCGTGTAAAACCATGTTTTTCTATTAGATTGATACCCGGTACCATAGGATTGAAGATTTTTATTGGCCTCCAATCTCGAATTTCCAAAAAAAATATTTAAATTCTACAATGTGAAGATTCTTCTATGTCTCTAGAAGAGATTTATATGCGAGTTGATCCTTATGTTAATCTTGTAGACTACCTAGAGTTTGCGTATGGTATGCAGTTGTATCTGGTGTATTGTTGAAGATCGTCTAGAAAAATACTTTTCGCTACATACCAATGTTATCTCATGGATTTTTTTTAAATATAAAGTAATGGCTAGAAACTCAGGTCGTTCTCTTCTATTGAGTAATACACTTTTATCACAAAATTCGCTTGAACGTGAGCAGAATCAGGTCAAGGATAAACGTCTTCAATTGATGCTGATATATAAAGTTTCTCTTGCTTTTCTATACTTTCTTCTATATCAGATTCGATTTTCTCTAGTTTTAAACATTATTATAGATTTTTCTAAATTTAATTATCATTACACTTGTAGGAATTTGTCTTGAAATCAATGTTTATACTCTTCTCTAACTGCACTTGGTAAATCAATGTTTATATAGAACTTTTCTCTTTTTTGATGCTTCTGAAAGCGAAATGTTATGCCTAAATGTAGTATTTATAAAAAATATATACATATATAGGGAGGCCCAAAAGTCAGTTAACCAATGCAAGGGCTAAATTGCATTCTTATTTGAAATAATCATAAAAAAAAAAATGTTTTAATTGGGTTGGTAGAAAAACGCATTGTTTTAAATATGGTTAATTGACTTTTGAGTCACTCTGTATATTCATCTTTTAATTATATTTTATTTAATAAATAAATTAGTTCCGAAATTCCAACAACTATTTGTGAATAATTATTAAAGTGGAATAGAGAACCGGGAGACCACACAACTGTAAATCATTACCCTAAAAAGTATGCATAAAAATTTGAATAAAGTGCGTACAGATTGGTACTGCATAGGCAGACAAGGCCACATGAATGAAAGAGCATACATGGCCATGGCCTTGCCTTTTTTGAGGCCTCATTTCGCTTCTGGTTACTAATGCTTTTGTTCTATATCTGTATAATGCCTCTAAAGAAATTGTGACAAGGACCTTGAAAGTGCTTAACATGCACGGTCTTACATATGGAAAGACAGGTTACCTGAAAACGTTTAAATCACACTTAACATAATGATTGCTAATAGATTACTGTATTGATTGCTGTGAACTTAATCCAAATGATAATCACATTTAAAGTATTTAGATGATACAAATATAAATATTTATTCACTTTTTCACTTATATTGTTTGTCATGAGCATGCTATAATGATATAAAAAGCTAATAACTAATTTTTAGATTATGTATTTGCTGTTAGTTATAACACTACAAACTGTATAATATATAGGATATAATGCAGATTATAATCTCATCACTCTACTCTTATACATAGTGTGCTAGAACATAGTGTGGACCTTCTTAATAACTTTTAACAGGAAAGACAATATGGGAAAAAATTCCGAAAATGATGAACAGTAATGATTAACTAATAAACAGCATGAAAAGGAACTTTGTGTTCTTTTGTACATTTCTTAAATTAGCTTTGGAAATGATAAATACAAAATGTTTTATGAATTTCACAAATTAAACCTGATTTTCTGAAAAACTTTGGTCGTTTATCAAGTGACTTTCTTCCTTTTTACAATTGTAATTTATTGATAATGAATAACATCCAACACTTTATTAACAGCTCGTAAAACTGGACGTGGCTCAAAAATGAACACAACAATTCAAAAAATCCAACAACATAAATATAAACGCTTTAAAGGACACAAATGTTTTTAACTATCTTAAAGTGTTTATGTTGCCGTGTTCATTTCTGAGCTATTTATTTATTCATAGTATTCATTTAATTGTGCAAGAAAGAAATTCAAATATAACAACTACTTCACATAAATAAGAGTTACTGTTAGGAAATTAGTTAATCATAGCACACATAATACAAACATAAATTACTGGTACAGATAAATGAACAAAGTTAGCTCTGTGATGACATGTGATACATTGATAGGCAGAAGTGAGAATCTTTATACAGTTTGTCTGTCAATATACAACACATCACACAGCTACTTTGGTTAAGTAGCTGTATGATGTGCTGTATGCTGTATACAGCACATCATACAGTCCACTTTGGATAAAGTGGAATATCATATATGACTCTATGCAGATAAATAATTGCAAGCTCAGATATCAGATAATTGCAATTCTACTGCATGTACAAAAATACAAGCATCAAATGTAGACTACTACATTCTTAAACAAATTTCAGTTTTATTATTATTATTATTGTTACACTTGTTATCTTAAATTTGAAGTATACCTGTGACAAAAATCGATAATTTAAATTATAAATAAATTTCTTAAAATATTAAAAATTCATCTGTAAGCAGTACAATATTACATTGTATAATGAGTTATGTTACTTAATATAAACAATTTGACATCATTCTATGTTAGCAATCATTAATGCTAAGGTTTTGTCCGAATATTGAACTTCCTTGCAAAGTCCCATGGCTTGACTGAGTCTAGCAGCTAAAACGTGTTTACACTGAAATGATACAGAAATTATCATTTAAAGAAACATTTATCTTTACTTATAAAATATATGAAAATAAAGATTCCATAGTACTGTATTGAGTTAATTTTAACACTAATCCACAGGTCACAGAGAGTAATAGAGGCCTGGGAAAAAAATACATATTGGAGGGGCCCTATAACAAAGTAAATTATATTAAATTAGAGAAAGAAAAACAGATTACCTAGGGGCCCTAAGGCAATTTGCATCTTTTGCCCCTCTGAGAATCTCTGCCAAGCACAAATCTAATGGTTTTTTTTGTGATTTAGTTGTTCCAATAAATTTTCTGAATCACAATTAGTAGCATGCGGCTGTTTCAAACTAGTTTTAATATTTCTTAAAACAGAGCTTAGTAAACTGACTTTTGAGCTCCCCTGTATATTAAAACTAGTCCTACAGTGCAATGTATTGATTTAGTATCATGAGAGTGTTGCTGTGGATAGATGACATAAAAATAAATAAGTTTACTTTTCTATGAAAATTCATACAAAACATTATGGTAAAAATCATTAGTCTAAGATTTTAGCATAATTAGTTGTTACTATCTCCAATGGTCTCATTATATAATGAACATTCTGTTCAGTATTATGCCAATTTGATAATGAAATATGCTAATTCTTAATTCATTAGACTGCAAGTATAAAGCACTTTGGAAATGCTTCATAGCCAAAGTGATTTGAGACATTGTAATCAATTAAAATTAAAACATTAAAGAATTCAATACATGTGAAAATGCAAGTTTCTACTATAGCATTCTCTTATAACTTATTAACATTTTTTTTTATATCTTTAAACTATGAAAGATTTTAATTTTTACTCTCCAATTGAGGAAGATCTTCTTCCGATATGGGCCCAACATGATCAAGTTTTTCACTTTTGTATTTTTGAGAATTGTTCGTGATGCTTCTTGATACACAGAAAGCAGTTTGTTTTTTGTTTTCTGTGTGTGTCAAGAAGCATCAAAAGCAGTTCTCCTCCAAATTTCTATTCTAATAACTTAAATTCAGTTATTAGAATAGAATTTACAAGCCTGAATTGAAACATTCTAATCTTCTACCTTCTTGGAGACCCAGTATCTTCTTTAAGCCGTGTACTTTCAGACATCTCAGCCAATCATTAGAAGTAAAACATGCTATAAAACCTGTAACATCAAGTTTAAATACATTATCTGTTTTTAAATTTGATGCTGTAAAGTTTTAATTTGTATTAAGCCTGAAAATACTTAGGTTTAAAGAAGATATTCTAGTGGTTTCCAAGAAAGTAGCAGATTAAAAATTGGAGATTTACTGATGTCAAGAGATAGAAATAAACATCTAGAATATCTGATTTTACATCTTTAATAGAAATTATAATTCATTGTAATAAATGAACAGATTATGGAAAACATATGTGATAGTAATTTTCTAATTTCTGTATTAAATCCCACTCTCACTTATACCAACAACCCATTAACATGCTTGTAAGATGTATGAAAAACTTAATTGATCTAAAAGCTAATAAATTTGAATATAAGATAAGAATACAGAGAAACTCTGTTTATTTGAATTTCTGGTTTTTAAACATAATTTCTTAGAAAAATAGATATATGGAAAACCTATAAATGCAAAAATTCAAATAACTTCCATGTACATTCTTGCCTGAGTTGTAATGCAGATTTTAACCTGCATTACAACTCAGGCAAGTATAGACTTGCTTTGTATGAATCAGCATATGATGATCATTGTTATGAATTCTGTGGGAGTATTCTTTGAGTTTGCTTAATATTTTGTCGACTCTTTTCTAATATTTTAAGATTTTCAATTATAAAAAAATTGCCACTTTCCTGTTGAACAATTCTTTGATTGTAAATATTTTCTAAGTTAACATTTAATGAATGAATTGTGATTTATAACCAATTTCCTTTAGATTGAAGTATGTAATAGATATTTTTAAACTAAAATAATAATAAATAAATAAACTTTTAATAATAAGATATTTACCATAGGATATTCTTCTTTTCTTAAAACTGTAAATAAAATAAATTTTCAAGTTAATTATTTGTAATTTAACAACAATAAATAAAAAAAAAACTAAATTAGAATTACAGTATTAAAACAAGTAACGTTTGATTTCTAGTAATACATTATCAGCCTATTTATAGACCATTTGATTACATTCAAATTCAAAAAAATGGAAACACTCCAAAATATTATTCAAAATGGTTAATACAAATAATTACATAAAAACATAGGATAAAAAAATATATTATATCTATGTATTATAATTAAGAATACAGCATAAGTATGAGGTGTGAGGAATTCAGGAAGTTAGATATAACAAATATCCATGCTATATATAATGACTCAGTACGGAAGTTTCTTACATCTAACTCCTGAAGTCTTCACCATTTTAAGCGTTCAAACCTTGTACTAATGCTGTATTCTTAATTACAGCTAATAATTTATTATATTTAGTGTTTCATATATTTAATTTAATTTTTATATGTAATTTTTATCTGTATTAATCATTTTGAATCATGTATTTCAAATACTGTTTTGAATTTTCCTGTTTTCAAATTTGGTGTATCCTGATTTTGATCTGTAGACCAAAAACATTTGATTTCTAATAATCTGCCACTTATTTAGATATTGTATTTCAAATTTCGTGCATTAAGTGTTTGTTTAGACATAAATAAGAAATAATAACAACTCAAATCCGCAACTGCACAATATGGGAGAGTTGCAGGTTCAAGTCTCGCTTTGGGCCGATTCTCTTCTTCCAGAATATTCTAAAGTAATAATAACTAAAAAATAAAAGAAATAAGCAAGAAAACATTTAAGGAGAGCATATGTAATTTTAAGACATTTATTCTAGAAAACTGCAATATAAGTTAAATTCTACCAATTGAAGTTTTCAAGAGTTATTTTAACTTATAATGAATTTAAAACAATGTTTGGGTTCATCCTTGGTTTCATTAAATGATAATATTTTTTCATTTAACATGTAGAATTTCATTATCTCAACTATTTATGTATCATATGAACTTGATGATTTTCATTACACAGTGTTTATAAAGTGTTTATCTGTTTCAGAGAAATGATATAATTCTGTTCAATTCAATTACAGAATGATAGAAGGTATACATTTATTGAATGTTTAAGAACAAGATTCAGGAATATAATGTCAAGAGTTTGTAGACAGTTGAATTGAACAGCATGAGTCTCTGAGTCTATGCACACTTCATTCATGATAACATGTTCACACACTATTTAATCTGTGAAATGTTATCATGAATGAAGTGTGTATAGACTCAGAATAGAGACTATAAACATTCTTAAACTGTGTACAGAGAGTAAAGAAAGGTATATTGACTCCATCCTTCATCATTCAGTCAATTCAATATAGAAGAAAAGTAATAGTAATTTACTGTTTTTGACTAATCTTACATATATTCTAAGGTCAGAAGCCAATTTTGGAAACACTTCTATAGACCGCTATCATAATAAAAAGGCATGATCAATTCTCTTGATCTTGGATTAGAACCAAGCAAAAAAAAAGTCAGGATATTCCATCTTCAAAATCTATAAAACAGTTTCAAAAAAGTAGTTTATGAAGATAGAAGCTCCCCAAAAGCATCAAATATCATATTGTTTAACAACTTTCAGAATGTCAGATTTATTAGGATTAAAAATTTTTTTTAAGATTTTAATGTTGCATCTTCATATCTTCAGGCACTTGAAAGCTGTCAATCAATATTTTATCTTCATATACTATTAATTTACATGGAGTCAAATAAGTCTCAAAATTTTTAAGTTCTAAACTTAATAATAAAATATTAAATAATCAAACCTGAATATCTGTATGCCAAACAACTACAATAATTGCTACTTTGAAAGCAGAGATACAATAATCCCGAACTGCCGATCACTTGAAACAATTCTCTTTTACTCGGTGTGCTTATGTGTATCACCTTTTGATGATCGATTAAATCGAGCGCCGACAGAAGCGGAGTCTTAAATATAAAATTAAGTCTAAAAGTAAAGAAAACATATTTTTAAATTTTACTTAAAAATTAACTTATTTGCATAAAATTGTCTTATTAATTAATCAAATTTTAAAAATATTACTTACTGAGACAACAATTCATCTGTGACTGCAATAAAATTATTAGAATGTTAGAGTAAATACAATAATTAACAAATATTTCATACTCTAAATAAATAAATCTGTTTTTAGAGAAGCTAACATCAGTCATGATACTAAATTTATTAAAATTACAAAACAAATGAGATGATAAATAATAATTTTAGGATTGGATTGTTAGAATAAGGCAATGCAACATGTATACAATCTGCAAAGATAAAATGCCTCCCAGGAAGACTATCAATAGGAAACCAATCATATTTAGTGTTACAAATGTGAAGAAAGCATGGAAGGCATGATAAACGTATTGCAATAGTCGAGTAGCCTCTAAAGAAAGGTTGACTCTACACACAAGACTGTTAATTCCTGATGTGTACGAAAAGGATGAAGTTTAGGAACATATTTTATGTATTGTCTGTTATAGGAAACTTTTTTTTTATAACTTTAAATACTTTTTATCAAATTTATATTTTAATTCATTGTAATTATATCCTCAAATTTAGAGAATATAATTATATACAGCATGGCCACAAAGACCTTCTGTATGCTAGTTAAAAATTCCCTCATTTCACTTCATTCTCCATATAAAATACTAATTATTCCCCAGGTTCTTCCAGACATCATCTTCCATGTCAATAGCTGAAATCATTAAGCAGTCTCCAGTAGCTGCTCTTAAGTCTTCAATTATTGTAAGATGTCACATTGACTCAAAAGATTATGCCAAATCAAATTCATGTCTACTTCAATGTCCATTAAATTTGCCATCTGGATATTCTCTAACTGAAAGGCCAAGGATAAACTATCACTAATGCAAACTTTATGATCATTCTGTACAATAAATATTTGAAACATGAATAAATTGAATACTATTACATCTCTGAACGAGACAGTTGGGACATTAACATAGTTGTAGACTATATCCATAGAAGCAGAAAAGTCAAAGGAACCATACCTCTACATGTGACCCTTTGTGAGATATAGCCCCTCAAAATCACAAGTCATATTGCTCTGCTAAGACTATTGCATTTAATTATTTAGTTCACATGATTATGCTGTCTTTGAGATTTGACTGTTTGTGGATTACTTGAATGTTATATAGTTTTAGAGGGTATGGAGTTTGCCCTCATCTAGGCAGAGGAGCGAGCGATAGCAAGCATCAAAGCACAGCACGGCTACATTTGGAGCATCGGTCAAGATGAGCGATAGCAAACCTCGACAGCACAGAGCAGAGAACAGGCAATAGTACCGGTTCAAGGTCAACTGACCGAAAACAGTTTTTACCTTGAACCAGTAAAACAAGTTATGTTATAGGCACCGATCACAGTACCTATAATATAACTTGTTTGCAAACACGACATCTGCAAGTAAGACAACTGGAACTGTTGCTGTCAGGTTCCACATTTAAAGGCAAATATCTTGCAAAGGGTTGAGTATCGGACTTTTCTTTATTCTTAGCCGATAAATATCGTTAGAATGTCCGATCACCGTGCCATAACGACTGTTAAACATGCGATACACTTAGCAGCACAGAGTCGCTCACTATTGTACCTGCAGTAGGATTTAGGCTGATTTTGGAAGGCTATAACTTGCAAAGGGTTACATTTACAGGTATGGTTCCTTTGACATTTTTGTTCCTAAGAACATGCTCTACACGAGTGTACAGCTCTATTAATTAAGGTCCCAACAACGTCATTCAAATCTGCAATCTTATTTCTTCATGGTTTATGAATTTCTTACGCTTATTATTTTCTTTGTATGTTGTTTCCACTTGCTTTAATAATTCCTTGATAACTTCATTCAAAACTTGTTCCATTCTATAATTAACACAGTAAAAAATGAAAATATGTATTATTGGAAGTATTTTTCAAGTTTTTGCTCGCTACCGTATGAATAAATTACATTGAGGTTTATTTAAACTTGTTTGAAGGTCTAAAATCGGTTTCTTGTTTACATGTGATCAAAACATGTGCATACTTTCACGCTACTCGTTTAAAATAACCGCGCCCTCTTTCGGTGAAAAATGTAACATATATTTTCGCATCTCCCATTAATTAAAAATTCTTTCGGGAAATATTGATTTTTATCACGAATATTTTAAATTATGTCGCAGGAATATTATATGAGTAGCAATAATAAATAATATAATGCAATAATGCGTAGAATTGGACTGGATTGGATTATTGGTTTATTTTACTTAGATTGCATGCGCATACCAAATGTGAGAATACAAGACGGACGAAAGCGGAATAATCTAGAGACTGCCGTGTTAAATATAACGTGCCTCGCAGGATGATCTGTCAGAGATTTTGATTGTATAAAAAAAAAGAGACAGCTGTTTCCTCCTTATACGGAGTGGCGGCTCAAATGCTACAATATAAAAACTGCAGACAGGGAAAATACGGAATGTTCCAATACACAGTCTCAAACCTTTGTGGTGTACTGGGTCTAACGTGCGGAAAGTTTGCATCGAGTACCACAATTATGAGTTGTCCATTCAGTAATAAATTAGGACCAGGGTGGAGGCCACGCCTACTACAAAAATGAACACAAAGTTTTTTGGTAAGAAAAGGCAAAGTAGTTTTTATTTGCCCAATTTTAGATCCGATTCAAAGTGATCTGTAGCTGTCTCTATCGTTCTCATGTTCACTGACTGGCATGAAATCTGGAAATTGTTCAACTAGTGGGAGACATTTATTCTTAAAATAAACAAAGTCAAACTTAAAACAGATCCTTGTGGCATGCCTTCCTGCTGTATACAGAGGGGAATTAAATCGAACAGATATGAACGGTAAAAGCTGGAGATGATAATTCAAAAATTGCGAATAAACCCTGGCAAATTTCTCCACAACTTATGGCATCTCCAAGACCTTTATAGTTATATCTCCATGCACGATCGTATGCCTTCTCAATATCAAAAAATATTGATACTAAACGCAGTGGCGTAGCGACGGGGTGCAAGGGGTGTATCATACAACGGGCGCCACTCGCAGAGGGGCGCCCAAATGGTCTCCAAGGCAATATGTTCGCTACGCCACTGACTAAATGTTCATGTCTAACGAAGGATTCACGTATGGAGGTTTTTAAAAGTACCATATTGTTGATAGTTGATCTAAAACACCAAAACCCACTTTGAAATGGAGGGTGATGGCCATTTCTTTCCAGAAAATACATTAAACTAGCATTAACCATATGTTCGAGTACTTTGCAGAGGCAACTAGTTAGATCAATTGGTCTGTAGTTAACTTAAACTTGGTACTTGGAATCTTCCCCGGTTGTGGAAAGGGGATTACAATTGCTCGACTCCACGCATTGGGAAAAATCTGTTCAGTCCATATGCGATTGTACAGTACAGGGAAAGCAACCAGAAAAGAGATGGAGAAGATAAGTGCTTAATTAATCATCTATAGTGTATCGAATCGGGTCTAACAGCTGTGTTGTGGGATTTATACAAGGCGGAATGCAATTCTGTCATAGTAGAAACAAAGTTGTACTCCTCGGATATAGAAGGTACAAAGAGTGTGGACTTCCGTTCAGCTCTGCATTTGTAATTTTGAAATACTGTTGTATAATTAGAACTGCTGGAAACTTGAGAAAACGTTTTACCCAACGCTTCAGCAATGTCATGTATATCAGTTATGGCTGTCCCATTCAGCCATTGGTTTCAACATAGAATGAGGATAGGAGGATCGTCTCTCATTGATTTTTAGAATTCGATTCCACATGACTTTGGAATTGATGGAAGACGTAATTGTTCAGATATAATTCTGCCAAGAGTCCGCTGGCGACAGAGCCTTAGGGACTCTTGCCTCTGCTTTTGAACGAGTAAACACCAATAGGTTCCTTTCGGTAGGATATCGGCGAAAATTACTCCAAGCCTTCTCTTGCTGTTTTTTTTTCTTTCCGTTTCACAATCGTGCCTCCGCCAGGGTAATAATATGTAATAAGTAACCCTGTAATAATGTAATGAAGACTATATTTAATCTTGTCTTACAACTCCTCTAATTCGATCTTTATATTAATATGTACAGTATTCAAAACTCTGCCTTTTAAGAGGACATTTTAATCATCCTCATCATGGGTCGTGCCTGAACTGCAAGGTCGTCTTTGCAGGCCCGGCAGAATGCATAATGAGTATGACAGTGAAAGACAAGATCCAATATAATCGACAGAGAAATCTCAAAAAATTTCTGAGGTTTCTGATCCGAACTCGAATCCGGATCCTTATAGCGATAGCCCGATACCTTTAGTTTGGAACGGCCATCCAACCGTCCATACTATCAAGTATTAACATTAATTTCAAGTATTTTTCGCGGTATCACAATACGTTGGAAAGTAATTATTTCCTTTAAGCCACCGATCCTCCATGTTTAATCCAGTTATTACTGTTTAACTCATTAATTAAATATTACGCATTGTGTAACTTTATATTAAAAACACTCCCTTTTACTACCTGATATTTATTCTTCTATTTTGTAACAGCAACTGAAAATCTTAAAAAGATTTTAAAATAAATAAATAAGCGGCCATATTTAGTCCTTTTATTTATAAAGTAAATGCGTCACTCTAGGACAGTTTCTTATGATAGGTATTCTAATCAATCCTAAAAACAAAAATATCATGGATTGAAAACCATTTAAAAAAAAATATATATTTTTTAACCTAATAATCCATTAAAAATCGAAAATTATAGCCATTTTTTATTTTTATTTTTAATTAGGATGGAGACCGCCAGGAGAAGTATTGTTAGAGGGGACGATGCGGGAGGAGGATGGTCGCGAAGGGAGGAGAGATCAAAGTTCAGGGTGATGCGAGCAAAGGAACATGGCGGATAAATCGGGAAAGGAGACGAAAAACGAAGAGAAAATGGAAAGTTTAGAAAGTATTCTGGAAAAATATTTACCGGAAGATGAATTGCAAGAAGTTAACAGATTATTATATGGAGGAAAATTGAAGTATAAAATTACTTTTATGTTTATATTTTAAAAAACATTTCTTAACTGTATAAAAGATCTAAAGAAGTCTTTAATTAAAGAGCTTTTATACATTAATTGAAATATATATATATACACACACATACACACACCATTTCTCAAGAATTTATATGCATATATAAATTCTAGAGCAATGGGTTTAGAAGTGGTTTTTCTACATTTTTTGAAGTCTTAAGTGGATTATTTTGGTGCGGTAGTGTGCGCATCCAACCCAATATCCAATAATTTATTTAAGCTTCGAGTAAAGGTTTCGGGAAAATGTTGCGACATCCTTGGAACCTGTTGCCACGCCTCGAGCATGCCCCAAAAACTGGATTGAAAATCATTGCTCCGATATATATAAAAATAATAAAAAAAAAACAACACTTCTTTAGCTTTTAACTTGAACACATTGTTTTTATAATACATAAACTTTTTAAACCTGTTTTGCAATGTTCTAGAGCTATCGTAAGGTTCTCTGATATGCAATAATTAATTAATTAATTTTATTTATTTACCGTGTGACTAAGGTGGCAAAATGTAAAAGTACGTATTTTACAAAATTTCTCAAGCAGTTTCTTTTTTAAATGTCAGATTGGTCTTAGTTTAAAGGCAAGAGAGGGAGATTTGTGCTGCCTAGAGGTACTTAACTAAGCGAGACTCGGTGTCATGTATTATAGGTAAATTGCCACACGTAATGGTTAATGTGACCGACGGCAACGAACGACGAGGCGGACTCGTAAATGGTGGCGGAAATTTAACTGTAATTAATGTTTTCGATTGCATTTAATGTTTGTCGTCAAATTTGACCTGCGGACCGAATGGGATATTACAAATTTAAAAAACTATAAACAAATGAACGACAGAACATTGTGCAAATGACGTAGAAGTATCAAAGTAGACTTTAATTATGTTACTTGTTAGGATATATCGTGCTATTTAAAAGCACTTTAGCTAATGATGGATGGATACATAGATATGTCAGCTATGTTGTGGCATCTGTTCATTTGGTTTGTCTCCCAATGTACACAATTTAATGAAGAGTAATGTATCACAAAAATAAAGACAATATTAATAAAGGTAAACCATGTGTGCAATTTCTGATGTGGAGGGTTGGTTTAGTCAGTTTTGAGACTGACTGTTCCCCTAAGGAATTGGATATTAGCTGCCGTGCACTCCGTGGGAATAACAAATCGAAAATACTATTTTGCTTGCAATACTAAAGGAATATAAGGTAGCAATTTAAATACATTTACTGTTGAAACTGTATTGGCAGCTTACACTAGTTTATTATAAAAAATTATAATTAAGGTACTTGAAATATTGATTTAAAATGGAATATTATTTTATAACAGATCATTAGACATTCCGTCGCAAGCAAGAAAAATTTCAGAAGAGAAAGATTTCGACATCAAGGGATACGTATTTACGGCAGAACCGGAAGAACTGAGGGCAAAACGTATTGTTCGTGTCGGCGTCGTCCAAAATTCGATCGTCCTTCCCACTACGGCCCTGATTTCGGAACAGCGATCGGCCATTTTTAATAGAATAGAAGATATTGTAGAAGCCGCCGCACTCTGTGGAGTAAACGTGATTTGTTTCCAGGAAGCATGGAGTTAGTGTATATTTAAGTACCGTATACTGTATTCAATTATATATTTACGTAATGATCAATGTTTTTATTCCGTAGCTATGCCGTTTGCATTTTGTACCAGAGAGAAATACCCGTGGTGCGAATTTGCAGAATCCGCCGAGGACGGCCCCTCGACGCAGTTGTGCCAACAGGTTTGCACGGAGGAGGGAAACTCTTAAACATTATTTTAATATTTTCCAGCTTTCATTAAGAGCTTTTGTTCTTAAAGCACACTTTTATCATTATTTAGATGGCAAAGAAGTATAATATGGTAATAATTTCACCAATACTAGAGAGAGACGAGGTTCATGGCAATACCTTGTGGAATACGGCAATTGTCATATCCAACAGTGGAAATGTTTTGGGAAAAACCAGAAAAAACCACATTCCTCGAATTGGCGATTTCAACGAGGTAATTAATTTATAACATATTTCTATATGATGTTCTGTCATTGGTGATTATTGTATTTACATATTCGAGTCATTAATAATCATTCTTTATTTTCTAGTGTTTATTTTATATTTTAATATAGTGTTCATAATTAATTAAAGTTCACACTTCAAAAAGATATAACTCGGGAACTAATCAGCGTAAGGCCATTATATTTCGCATACAGATATCTGTGTTGATGGAATTTTATTTGAAAATAAAAAAGCTAGTTACCGTAATGTCAGCTAGAGCAATAAGTGGCATTGTGATATAGTAGTGAATAATTTAAAATGTCTCAAAATTTATGATAAAAATTACCATTTAATGTGTTTTAAGGCAATAGCACAATTGAATATGCTGACTTCCATTGTTGACAACATGATTATCAAATTGCAAATTTAATGATATCACTTGAGTTTGGTGCATGCATGATATGCTTATCATGCCTGCTGTTGTGTAACAATACAGTGTACCATATGTATAAATTTTGAGACATTTTCAGTTATTCACTACAGTTTTGCAGTACCACTTGCTGCCTTTGTGGACATTTTGTAACTATTTTGTTTTAAAATAAAATTCTATCACTATAGACAAGTTCATGTGAAATATAACAATACTCTGCTGATCTTTTTGAAATGTGAACTTTAATTATGAACACCTTGTGTATATTTAGCCTGAGTCCAGAAAAAGAAAAAATCCAGAAACCTGGACCACTTTCCATCCCAAGCTTGTCAGATAATTGGTCTGTTACTGTATAAGTAAATGAAACATTCTAGCATGGTAATTATAGCTACACATTATGGATTTGTCACAGTAGTCTTGTCAATTAATATAATATTGTGTAAAATCTGGAACTTTCATACACAGTCAGCCAATTGCAGAGACAGCATTTATGGTAAATGACATTTAAAAATTATTCTGTAGTTGAAGAGAAGGGGTATGATNAATTTGAAGTATACCTGTGACAAAAATCGATAATTTAAATTATAAATAAATTTCTTAAAATATTAAAAATTCATCTGTAAGCAGTACAATATTACATTGTATAATGAGTTATGTTACTTAATATAAACAATTTGACATCATTCTATGTTAGCAATCATTAATGCTAAGGTTTTGTCCGAATATTGAACTTCCTTGCAAAGTCCCATGGCTTGACTGAGTCTAGCAGCTAAAACGTGTTTACACTGAAATGATACAGAAATTATCATTTAAAGAAACATTTATCTTTACTTATAAAATATATGAAAATAAAGATTCCATAGTACTGTATTGAGTTAATTTTAACACTAATCCACAGGTCACAGAGAGTAATAGAGGCCTGGGAAAAAAATACATATTGGAGGGGCCCTATAACAAAGTAAATTATATTAAATTAGAGAAAGAAAAACAGATTACCTAGGGGCCCTAAGGCAATTTGCATCTTTTGCCCCTCTGAGAATCTCTGCCAAGCACAAATCTAATGGTTTTTTTTGTGATTTAGTTGTTCCAATAAATTTTCTGAATCACAATTAGTAGCATGCGGCTGTTTCAAACTAGTTTTAATATTTCTTAAAACAGAGCTTAGTAAACTGACTTTTGAGCTCCCCTGTATATTAAAACTAGTCCTACAGTGCAATGTATTGATTTAGTATCATGAGAGTGTTGCTGTGGATAGATGACATAAAAATAAATAAGTTTACTTTTCTATGAAAATTCATACAAAACATTATGGTAAAAATCATTAGTCTAAGATTTTAGCATAATTAGTTGTTACTATCTCCAATGGTCTCATTATATAATGAACATTCTGTTCAGTATTATGCCAATTTGATAATGAAATATGCTAATTCTTAATTCATTAGACTGCAAGTATAAAGCACTTTGGAAATGCTTCATAGCCAAAGTGATTTGAGACATTGTAATCAATTAAAATTAAAACATTAAAGAATTCAATACATGTGAAAATGCAAGTTTCTACTATAGCATTCTCTTATAACTTATTAACATTTTTTTTTATATCTTTAAACTATGAAAGATTTTAATTTTTACTCTCCAATTGAGGAAGATCTTCTTCCGATATGGGCCCAACATGATCAAGTTTTTCACTTTTGTATTTTTGAGAATTGTTCGTGATGCTTCTTGATACACAGAAAGCAGTTTGTTTTTTGTTTTCTGTGTGTGTCAAGAAGCATCAAAAGCAGTTCTCCTCCAAATTTCTATTCTAATAACTTAAATTCAGTTATTAGAATAGAATTTACAAGCCTGAATTGAAACATTCTAATCTTCTACCTTCTTGGAGACCCAGTATCTTCTTTAAGCCGTGTACTTTCAGACATCTCAGCCAATCATTAGAAGTAAAACATGCTATAAAACCTGTAACATCAAGTTTAAATACATTATCTGTTTTTAAATTTGATGCTGTAAAGTTTTAATTTGTATTAAGCCTGAAAATACTTAGGTTTAAAGAAGATATTCTAGTGGTTTCCAAGAAAGTAGCAGATTAAAAATTGGAGATTTACTGATGTCAAGAGATAGAAATAAACATCTAGAATATCTGATTTTACATCTTTAATAGAAATTATAATTCATTGTAATAAATGAACAGATTATGGAAAACATATGTGATAGTAATTTTCTAATTTCTGTATTAAATCCCACTCTCACTTATACCAACAACCCATTAACATGCTTGTAAGATGTATGAAAAACTTAATTGATCTAAAAGCTAATAAATTTGAATATAAGATAAGAATACAGAGAAACTCTGTTTATTTGAATTTCTGGTTTTTAAACATAATTTCTTAGAAAAATAGATATATGGAAAACCTATAAATGCAAAAATTCAAATAACTTCCATGTACATTCTTGCCTGAGTTGTAATGCAGATTTTAACCTGCATTACAACTCAGGCAAGTATAGACTTGCTTTGTATGAATCAGCATATGATGATCATTGTTATGAATTCTGTGGGAGTATTCTTTGAGTTTGCTTAATATTTTGTCGACTCTTTTCTAATATTTTAAGATTTTCAATTATAAAAAAATTGCCACTTTCCTGTTGAACAATTCTTTGATTGTAAATATTTTCTAAGTTAACATTTAATGAATGAATTGTGATTTATAACCAATTTCCTTTAGATTGAAGTATGTAATAGATATTTTTAAACTAAAATAATAATAAATAAATAAACTTTTAATAATAAGATATTTACCATAGGATATTCTTCTTTTCTTAAAACTGTAAATAAAATAAATTTTCAAGTTAATTATTTGTAATTTAACAACAATAAATAAAAAAAAAACTAAATTAGAATTACAGTATTAAAACAAGTAACGTTTGATTTCTAGTAATACATTATCAGCCTATTTATAGACCATTTGATTACATTCAAATTCAAAAAAATGGAAACACTCCAAAATATTATTCAAAATGGTTAATACAAATAATTACATAAAAACATAGGATAAAAAAATATATTATATCTATGTATTATAATTAAGAATACAGCATAAGTATGAGGTGTGAGGAATTCAGGAAGTTAGATATAACAAATATCCATGCTATATATAATGACTCAGTACGGAAGTTTCTTACATCTAACTCCTGAAGTCTTCACCATTTTAAGCGTTCAAACCTTGTACTAATGCTGTATTCTTAATTACAGCTAATAATTTATTATATTTAGTGTTTCATATATTTAATTTAATTTTTATATGTAATTTTTATCTGTATTAATCATTTTGAATCATGTATTTCAAATACTGTTTTGAATTTTCCTGTTTTCAAATTTGGTGTATCCTGATTTTGATCTGTAGACCAAAAACATTTGATTTCTAATAATCTGCCACTTATTTAGATATTGTATTTCAAATTTCGTGCATTAAGTGTTTGTTTAGACATAAATAAGAAATAATAACAACTCAAATCCGCAACTGCACAATATGGGAGAGTTGCAGGTTCAAGTCTCGCTTTGGGCCGATTCTCTTCTTCCAGAATATTCTAAAGTAATAATAACTAAAAAATAAAAGAAATAAGCAAGAAAACATTTAAGGAGAGCATATGTAATTTTAAGACATTTATTCTAGAAAACTGCAATATAAGTTAAATTCTACCAATTGAAGTTTTCAAGAGTTATTTTAACTTATAATGAATTTAAAACAATGTTTGGGTTCATCCTTGGTTTCATTAAATGATAATATTTTTTCATTTAACATGTAGAATTTCATTATCTCAACTATTTATGTATCATATGAACTTGATGATTTTCATTACACAGTGTTTATAAAGTGTTTATCTGTTTCAGAGAAATGATATAATTCTGTTCAATTCAATTACAGAATGATAGAAGGTATACATTTATTGAATGTTTAAGAACAAGATTCAGGAATATAATGTCAAGAGTTTGTAGACAGTTGAATTGAACAGCATGAGTCTCTGAGTCTATGCACACTTCATTCATGATAACATGTTCACACACTATTTAATCTGTGAAATGTTATCATGAATGAAGTGTGTATAGACTCAGAATAGAGACTATAAACATTCTTAAACTGTGTACAGAGAGTAAAGAAAGGTATATTGACTCCATCCTTCATCATTCAGTCAATTCAATATAGAAGAAAAGTAATAGTAATTTACTGTTTTTGACTAATCTTACATATATTCTAAGGTCAGAAGCCAATTTTGGAAACACTTCTATAGACCGCTATCATAATAAAAAGGCATGATCAATTCTCTTGATCTTGGATTAGAACCAAGCAAAAAAAAAGTCAGGATATTCCATCTTCAAAATCTATAAAACAGTTTCAAAAAAGTAGTTTATGAAGATAGAAGCTCCCCAAAAGCATCAAATATCATATTGTTTAACAACTTTCAGAATGTCAGATTTATTAGGATTAAAAATTTTTTTTAAGATTTTAATGTTGCATCTTCATATCTTCAGGCACTTGAAAGCTGTCAATCAATATTTTATCTTCATATACTATTAATTTACATGGAGTCAAATAAGTCTCAAAATTTTTAAGTTCTAAACTTAATAATAAAATATTAAATAATCAAACCTGAATATCTGTATGCCAAACAACTACAATAATTGCTACTTTGAAAGCAGAGATACAATAATCCCGAACTGCCGATCACTTGAAACAATTCTCTTTTACTCGGTGTGCTTATGTGTATCACCTTTTGATGATCGATTAAATCGAGCGCCGACAGAAGCGGAGTCTTAAATATAAAATTAAGTCTAAAAGTAAAGAAAACATATTTTTAAATTTTACTTAAAAATTAACTTATTTGCATAAAATTGTCTTATTAATTAATCAAATTTTAAAAATATTACTTACTGAGACAACAATTCATCTGTGACTGCAATAAAATTATTAGAATGTTAGAGTAAATACAATAATTAACAAATATTTCATACTCTAAATAAATAAATCTGTTTTTAGAGAAGCTAACATNTTTAATGAAAATTTTTGAAGTAATACATTTATAGAATAACTTGCTTGATTACATAAATTTCATTTAATATTTGTTGAGTAAATTAAAACTCACAACTTTTTCAACTTTTTGTTTATCAAATAGAGTATACTAGAAGAACAGAGATTAAAAATAAGTTATTTTATAATACGGAATTTTCATATTTTATATCTAAGTAATGCGTTAAGTCCAAGATGTAAGTTTTAAACAAAATTTTGAAATTTGTAAATAAAATGAAGACATTAATTTATATTTCTAGCTCAGCTTTCTATGAATAAATTCTATATTGACTTTAAAACTATTTTTAACCACATCAAATACATAAAATGTCAACATAAATCTGATAATTTTATGGTAAAATAATCAAATATTTGGTAGAATAAACATTAAACTAAATATATTTCCAAAAGAAATTTGAATTAAGAAATCATAATTTAAATCTTTTTGAGGAAATATGGATGAATAACACAATTGTATGAATGTTTATTTAATTTGTTACATAATATTTTTATTTAAAATGAATAAAAACAGAATTATTTTGTCTGTGACAGGCTCACTCTTTATCAAAATTGTACGATCCTGAAAAGGATCTTTTGTGATAGTCCTAAAGTATCGTTTCGTTCAACTAAAATATTGCGGTTCAATAGATCTTCAAAGAGCAGATCCCGAAATTGATTGCTCGTTCGTTGTTGAAATTTCTTCTTCTCTTTCTTCATTTAAATGATCTGTAATAAACTCCTCCTCTTTAAAACCAATGGCCCAATTATGCAAAATTACTGTGGCTATTATTATATTAAGTGTGTTGTCTAATTCGGTTCTCGGACAACTTCCAATGCACGGAAGTCGTCTTTTCCAGATCCCAAATAATCTCTTGACGATATTTCTTGCCGACGAATGAGCTTTGTTATGCCGTCTTTCGGCACGATTCTGCGGATGTAAAAATGGGATCGTTAAATAAGGCAAACAACGATAGCCGCTGTCACCAACCAGATATCCATTACAATATCCTTGATGTTTTTCTTTAATACTACTGTTAGAAACAATTCTACCGTCGTGCGTTGAACTGGCCACCGAGTGACAATATTTATAATTTTCATCTTTCCATCACAGATTACCTGAAATATACATTTAAACAATGCATCAATTATATATTTTCATTAAAGTTATCAGTTTGAGATATTATTTGATATTTTTATTTTCATATATGTCAAAGAAATAGTCACATAACTATTTTATAACAAGGCATAACAATTTAAATGTTAGAAAATTATATAGGCCATTGCATATTTAATAGTCATTTAAAAGGCTTTGGATGGTTCTGATAATGACACGGCGATAATAAATAATACAATATATAACTTAATACAAACGTTAAACAAGACCTCATTCTTATTATAAATGTCTCTATTACTATACAAAAAAATGTAAATTTATTTAATAATGGTTTGATAGATACCTGCATATAGTAGTGACGTAAACTCCAATAAGATCACCGGCTACCTTCTGGAAGCTTCCGATGGCATAAAATCGTAATGCCGTCAACAACTGTCGTTTGGTAGTTAATGGCAATCCTCTTCCGTCTAGATGCTTAATTTTGTCGCCAATACGATTTAATATATGAAGAAATCCAGATCTAGAAAATCTATACCAATTCGAATTTCGTCTTCGGAATAGATTTCTGAAGGATTACTTTGATCTCGAATTACGTTCTCTCTTCGTAACTGTCGAGATGAATAATTTTCTTGATTCATCCAGTTTACAATATTTATTAAATGAATAATATCCATTATAACATAAACTTTGCCACCATCAACAAATGAATATGGTGACTTTTCCTCGGGTACAATTGTGTCTAAACCTGCTAACGAGGGAGTCTAGAAAGTAGGTCAAATAACTTGTTTCTAATGGCTCTCCAAACAGTGGCAAGTGAGAAATGCCGTCTCTGCAATGAAACTTTTCTGAACTGCGTGCCGTCTACACGATCTCTAAATCGTCATTGGTATCTAAATATTGTCTCTGCAATCGGCTGAGTCAGTCTACAAACATATTTCTATAATCTTAACCATAGACCATTATACTGATGATAAAGTTGCAATCTCTCGCAGGCTAACGAATTCCCCAAATGTTCTTCAATAGGCTATTTTTCCGTGCTGGAAGAGGGTGCATCTTATATGCTGTAAAATATAGTATCTGATTTATTGGCATCCAATGTGATGACAGATATTGATTGTTCAGTGTATTTAATTAAAAGTACAGTTAAAATATTTATGTAAATGACAAAACTTTGAGATTGATTGTTATTTCAGTCTACGTATTACATGGAGGGAAACTTGGGACATCCTGTGTTTCAGACACAATGGGGTAAGTATTTTTCATTTGTACATAAATTGCATAACTTGAAAATTAATTATTACTTTCATATTTTGATGATCTAATTAAGTTCTATTATTTAAAAACACAATTAGAATTGTTGACATATTTTATTTGCTGTTTCTCTTACTTACAAATTTCCTCTTTAGCGTCTAATATTTTTTCAAAATCTTTTTTGTCGTCTTTTATTTAGATAATTTTAATTCTTTTACATTCTGTCATCATTACCATTATTGCTACTCTATTATTCAGCAGTTTGTAAAACTACAACTATATTCTCTTCATTTGTTCCCATAGTGAAGGCCGAGTTCATTGTCCGAGCCATCTAGCATTGTGTTTCTTTCTCTTTTTTTCCCTATTTTTTCATACTGTTAGGTATATTCTAGAAGGTTGTATGTCACTTTTATGATTTTCAATGAAACCTCTTCGTAGGTTTTCTTTGAATATCATCTTATTTTTCTAAGTTCATTCACTTGTCATTTAGAAGAAAAGTGACACACAACCTTACTGCATGACTCCAACAATATACTCTTCTAACACTACTAATACTATTCCATTTTCTCTCGGAATGTGTCCCATCTGTGATCTACCTATCTGTCTTATTATAATCTTACTTTCTTCTCTTGCCCTACTTGATATTTGCTAATTACGGATCTTTTTAACAACTTTCTCTGTATTAACTTCTCAAATACCCCACACTCTCCTCGTTTATATTCAAAATCTATATGGAGACATTCTTTAAATGTAACAATTTTATCCTCGGAAAAGAAAGCGAGAATGGTTCTCGCTTTCTTTTCCGAGGGAATTATAAGTCTGTCTTGGTTGTTTCCTTGAATTGTGTGTCTTTCTACACCTCTAAAGCCAGCTCCAGACATTTGCCAATTGCCAATTGCTGAATGATTACTCACTTGGCACAATGTACCAACAAGGATTCGGAAATGGCAAATACCGAATATTAGTCACAATGTCAACTGAATATTAGTAAATCATTAAGGCTACTTGGTATTGGCCAAATGTTTGCTTGGCATTTGAAAATAATGAATATGTAGGGCTGGCTTAAAACTGAACATTTTTACAAACTGATGGGATATTGTCGTCCACCCGGTGGCTATCTTACATTAACACATATTACTATGCAAATAATTGTGTAGAATTTCATCCCATTTCAATGAATTAATCGTTAAACTCTTTCTGCTCATTACACTTAGATTTGTTATCTTTTTAGGCAAAATTGCAATTAACATATGTTACGGTCGTCACCATCCGCAGAACTGGATGATGTATGGTATCAACGGCGCAGAAATCGTTTTCAATCCTTCCGCCACGGTAGGAAATTTAAGGTAAATTATTTCGGAATTATTTTCTTTGGTTGTCTCATCCGAATTTATGATAATTTATTAATAACTTTATTAGCAGAGCCAATTAATTTATATCACATTCTAAAAACAAAAGTTACGAATCTTTTTCTTCGTCTTTTTTGTTTCACTTGACACAAGAAAGGGTGAGGGAAGTGTATATGAATTTTGTTACCTCTTGTCATGTTTTGATTTTAGAAAATTAATATATTTTGCTATTTTAAAATGATTCCTCATAGAGACAAAACAAGAAAATTTTAAAGAAAGTTAATATCATCTCTCAAAACTATAAAGCTAGATTCACATTTGCATACAAATTGCTACAAAGTAGATATGAACTGCTGGATTGTTAGAAGTTGAGAATGTCTAGGCTTTTGCCGAAGTCAGTTAGTTTGACCAATTGACTTTATGTTAGTGTTCAAAGCCTGTTTAAGCAGTCGCATTCTAACTTAGCTTTAAACCAAGTGTAAACCAAGTCAACAAAGGAAGATTTACAAACAAATTATTCAGTTGTTCCTTTCTCTAATTTGGTTCTATAGCCTTTGAGAACAACTTTTTATATTTGAGTGTCGACTAGCATTTTTATCTTTTTGTAAACACAAGTTGACATTTATACAATTAAAAATTAATAATGGTTTGGAGATGACAATCGTTCTTAAAAATTACAGAGAACTATTTCAAAATTTATTTTTCCAGCGAGCCATTGTGGCCCATAGAAGCAAGAAATGCGGCCGTAGCCAACAGTTATTTTACGTGCGCCATCAACAGAGTCGGAACGGTTTGTATTCTTTATTTTGACTTTGGTAAAGAAAGAAACAACATTTTTAATTTGAAATTTAATGTGCGAGCAGGAAATTTTTCCTAGAGAATTTACGTCGGCAGATGGAAAGCCCGGTAAGTTTTTAATATATAGAATTGTAAATACATTTTTATTTGTGACAAGTAAATGTGAATGTTTTATTTCAGCTCATAAAGATTTTGGATATTTTTATGGTAAAAATTTTAACTTTTTGCTTAAATGTTTATGAATGATGAAAATATTAGGCATTTATGGTTAAATTACTTGCTACTAAATGTAGGATCCAGCTACATTACGGCTCCCGATGGCACGAGAACACCCGTAAGTAAAAATTTTCATACGATATTTAGTACAAATATATATGAACGTTATAAAGATTAATATCTTGTTATAATTTTGTTGAACATCTCAACATTGAAAAGTGCACTTACAACAGACTCTTTCTAATATCCTACTGCCAGAACACACAATTTTAAACCTACCTCTAGTTAAGCTATTGTTAAGCTTGGTGCAAAATGAGTCACTGTCAAATCATATTGGTCTAAGCAAATTTGTCTGAAATCAAACTGAGCATTTTCGGCCCTGAATCCACTTATTATATAAAAACCAGCATGTCTACGTGTCGAAGCAACCTTGTCGACTCATTTGTGTCAGCCTTTAGAATTGCCATTGTGTTTAACAGTACAAATGTCTTCATAAAACTGGGCTCCAGCACTATCTCATGTTTATAATTTAATTCTCAATGGACCTTTAATTATTATTATTATTATTATGTTGGGTTTAGTGGTTTATACTCGATTGACACTGGTTACTGTGTACTATGCCAGACCAGAGTCGAGGCATAGCAACCAAAACAAAACTAAAATTAAATAAGTGTGTCTGTGTCTGTATTCAGGAATTTCCTAATAATATGGCATATATTCAATATAGTGGCCTTCTGTAACAAGATGTATTTCTATTCAATTGTAATGTTCCCAGGCTTTTGTGTAGTGTGTGTGGTATCACACCTGTACAGGAGAGAACGACAGGTACAATAAACATTCTTTCCATCCTCCACAGATGCCGTATTTCCTGGGCGAGTTCTGTGTACTTGCTAATTTTTTCAGTGCATGTTTTGTACATTGTGAGTGTTTGGAATGGCTATGTCTATAATGTATGTGATTTTATTGTTTGTCAATGAGTGTGATGTCTGGTCTGTTGTGGTAAATTGTTTTATCTGCGATTACGGCTCTCTCGTAGTACATTTTGTGCGTGTTGTTTTCCAATACTGTCTGTGGAACATATTTGTAGTATGGTTCGTGGATGTTTACCAATTTGTGTTTCTTTGCAAGCTCTTGGTGTATTATATTTGCTACTTGATTGTGTCTATGTAAGTAATCTGTCTGTGCCAAGAGCTTGCAACCAGAAGTGATGTGTTGTATAGTTTCTGGCATGATGTGACATTTTCTGCATGTGTCATTTGTGAGTGTTGTATCTTTGAGTATGTGTTTTCTGTAGTTTTTAGTATTTATGACCTGATCCTGTATGGCAATCATGAATCCTTCCGTCTCCCCAAAGAGGCATCCCCGATCTAACCAGCTGTTTGACGCAGTTTTGTCAACAAAATCCTGGGCCAGGTCGTAAGGATGCCTGCCATGGAGAGCCTTTTGAGCCCATGATTGCTTAATGTTGTCTATGCTTTTTATATGTTGTGTCATGTCTGTATGTTGTGAGTGTAAGTTTAATGGTGTGTTATTTGAGTCTGCTAGAGTTACTGCTTTATGTAACTGTGATGTTTCTTGTTTCTTGTAGAAAAACTCTCGCAGTGACTGTATTTGTTTGTAGTGAAGGTTAACTATGTCAATCAGGCCACGTCCGCCTTCTTTACGTGGAAGGGTTAATCTTTCTGTGGCGGATTTAGGATGATGTTGTTTATGCTTAGTAAGTGTTGTTCTTGTTTTCCTTTGGAGTTGCTCGAGATCTGTGTGAGTCCAATGTATAACTCCAAAAGAGTATGTGAGTACTGGGATGACATATGTGTTTATTGCTTTAACTGTGTGTTTTGCATTTAACTGTGTTCTAAGTATAGCGTTTAACCTACTTTGGTATTCTTTAATTAATCGTTGCTTTATTTGTGTATGTTCTGTTAGTTTGGCCTGTTGGAATCCTAAGTACTTGTAGAACTCGCCCTCTTCCATGGATTCAATAACGTCTCCATTTCCAAGTGCAAAATCTTCTTTCTTCAGGATTCCTTTTTCTATGTGAAGTTTTTTGCATTTGTCTAGGCCAAACTCCATTTGTATGTCCTTAGTGTATGAATGTGTGATTTGTAGGAGTTGATGAAGTTGTTTTTGTGTGGATGCATAAAGTTTTATGTCGTCCATGTACATGAGATGTGAGAGTGTAAACTGTGTTGTTTTTTCGTGTCTGATATTGTAGCCGTATTGCGTGTTGTTTAACATGTTGGATAATGGATTCAGGGCTAGGCAGAACCAGAGAGGACTCAAGGAATCTCCTTGAAAAATTCCTCGCCTAATGAATATTTCGTTTGTTTGTATGGAAGTGTTACTAACCCTGAGATGTAGTGTTGTTCTCCAGTGCTGCATAGTGTTTTCGAAGAATGCAATGAGTGATGGATGTATTTTGTACATGTGTAGAATATGTAGCAGCCAACTGTGTGGAACACTGTCGAATGCTTTTCTGTAGTCTATATATGCCATGTGTATGTTTCTGTGTTGTTTGTGTGCTTGCCGTAGAATGACTGAATCTATGAGTAACTGTTCTTTGCATCCCCTGTGATTTCTACGGCAACCTTTTTGTTGTTCTGTAAGAATGTCGTGTTCTTCAACATGTTTGTATATTTTGTTTGTGATACAGGATGTCAATAATTTGTAGAGTGTTGGAAGACATGTAATTGGTCTGTATTGTGTGGGGTCTGTGGTTTTGTTGTTTTTAGGTTTCATGTAGGTGATGCCCTGAGTAAGAAATTTTGGCATGTCTTGTGGATTGATGATGATGTGTGTTAGATGTTTAGCTAGTTCCTGGTGCAGTGATGTAAACTTTTTGTACCAGAAATTGTGAATGTTGTCTACACCAGGTGTCTTCCAGTTGTGTGTTCTGTTAACAGCGTAGCGAATGTCGTGTATGTTTATTTCAGCACAGGGCATAGTTGGTATGTTATGCAAGTTTCTGTTCTCCTCCTTGATCCAGCCTGCATCAGCATTGTGTGTAACAGCATTGGACCAAAGAGAAGACCAATAAGTTGTGAGTTCTTCTTCTGTTGGTGTGCCACTGTGCTGTGTATCAGTGTTTGTTTTGGTACTGATTTGTCTGTAGAAAAGTTTTTCATTGTTTGTGAATAATTTATTTTGTTGTTTTCGTAGTGTACATGTTTTGTATCGTTTGAGTCTACGTGCTTTGGCTGCGAGTTTTTGTTTTAGTGTATCGATGTATTCTGTAATGTGTGTGTTGTGATGTTCATGTTTTGTGTGTGTTTTGATTTTCTTGAAAATGTTTTTGAGTTGTTTCTTTAATTTGGGTGTTATGTTGTTTTTAGTGTATTGTGTCAGCCTGCCTAATTGCTGTCTAATGTCATTTATTTGTGTTTCTATTCTTCTCTGCCAGGCAGGCTTGTGATAGAATTGTGTTTTGTGTGTGTCTGTCTGTGAGTGTATTTTCAGTCCATGGTGTGTTACTACTGTGACTGCCCCAGCATAAACTAATGTATGAATGTCTGAGAGTGTAGAAATTGAATGAATGTAGTTTGGTAGTAAGTGAGTGTTTACATAATTTAGTGTTTTTCCTACTACCTTTGACGTGTTGATTTTCGGTATTCGTGGTCTTTGTGTGGGATCTGTACCTGTATATTTAGTGAGTGTTTCCTGAAATATAAGTGAGAGTGTATTAACTAATTCTATGTCTACGTTATCAGTGATGGATGGGGAAGTGCCTGCAGTATCATTAGTGGTACTTGTTGTGTGTGTGCTGTAATCAGTGCTTGTTGCTGGATTATCCTGACAGGTTACGTGATCTTCATTAATGTTAAATGTTTCTGTCTGTTGATGTATTTGATCAGCAACCTGTTGTTTGATAAGTTCAAGTGTTGTTTGTGGGATAAGGTTGTTGTGTATAATTGTTCTTTTTTGATCAACAACCCTTTGTTCGGTGACAGTGAGGTGAGGATATTGTTGTGTGAATCTATGGTGTAGTTGTTGTCTGTATGCTGTCATGTTTGTTTCGAGTCTTGTGATGGTGTAGTAAGTGCGGATGATAAACTCGTTCATTTCTGTTGTCCATTTCATCCGTTGGCGTGGTTTTCCAGCCTTTTTGGTCTGTGGATGCATTGCCACAGAAACATGAGGAATCAACCTAGCCTTGATATCTGTTGAGGGCATTGCAGTAGCCATGCTTGGGACATCGCTGCTTTCACCACCAGTAACCAAGGGAGACTGTGGCCTATTTTTTGAATGTGAGACTCTGCCTAACCCACAAATGTGGACCTTGTTAACCCGGGCGACTTCAGAGCCAGTATCATACTTAGATCTGGTTACTACCATGATAAATATCTCTACAGAATGTGGATGTGGTCACTCTTAACTTCATTTCCCCCCTCACTGGCATGGGTGTTCCTACCAGGAGCTTGTGCTCCAGCCTGCATTGCCTTATGGATCAGTAAAATTACTGGGATCTCCCACCACCACCACCACCAGATGGTGATCACGGGAGAGTTATTATTATTATTGAAAAATGCTCTGGCTATTTATATTTATTTTCCATCACTTTTAGGGTCTGTCTAGATTGAAGGATGGTCTACTGATTGCTGAAATGGACTTGAATCTATGCCAACAGATAAAAGATAAATGGGGTTTCAGAGTAAGTATATTTTTGTTATAATTAATTGAGAGAGGGTTAAATTGGTTTCTTGTTGTGAATAACTTATCTGGAAATTTAAATCTGAAAGAAAAACATGAATGTCATTAAAGCATATTGTATGAAGATCAAGAATAACTTAAAAATCACTACTAGTATGTGTGATGATTTATATTCTTTGTCACCAAAATGATGACCTGCATGATTTTTGGTTCCATTCACATTTAAATCCAATTTATTGTTATTCAAAATTTATTAAGATGTAAAGCTTAAACAAAAAAAATATGACTATGAATATACTAAAACAATATCTCGTATACATAAAAAATATATTTACATACAGAAGTTTCTATGGCTGCTCCGTAAGTCTTTTGATATTTTTATTTTGCAGATGACTCAACGTCTGGAATTGTACAGCGACTCACTCTATGAGGTCGTCCAACCGGATTACGAACCCTACGTTATCAGAGAGTGAATCGTTGGGAGTACAAAGAAACAGAAGTGCCTAAACTGAAAGGACAGTTTCAATTCTAAGTAAATTGTTGCTAGGAAGAAATGTATTTTTTCCAAATTATAAAATGTTAACCCAGAAAAATTTTTTAAAAGAAAATTTTTTCATTAAAAAATTGTTAAAAGTTATGAAACGTAATCATAATCATCTGTTTTTGTACACGAAGATGACATCTTCGTCCGTTCCAAAACTTCTCCTTGCTTTATCAAAATCTTCAAAAGGCATGATGCATATTTCTGGAAATGGAATATTTGAATTAATACGATCAAAATATCTTCCCCCTATTGGAATTGAGCTATATAGTACAAATATTACAAATGAAAAAATATTTTTGTGTTTGACATTTTATGCCAGAGTAAAATAAATTTTGTATCTGTTTATTGTATTACTTCCTTCACATCACATAGGGAAATGTACATTGTAGAACCATTCAAATCTTGTTAGATCAGATTTTCTCCTCCAATTATTCTGGATAGGGTTGATCCTACCCATAATATGCCCTAGCAAAGTAATTATATCAAATATTTAGTAAGTACATCCTTTTAACATAGAAGTATTGTAAGATCTAGACAATGATTGATTACAATAATAAACCGAGGCTTTATTAAGACTATTTTGATTAATCCTCAGTCAAAAATGGCAAGAGAATACAAATTTTAAGAGGTTCCAGATGAGGTTTCACCCACACATCCTCCTCGGGTTTGGCTTCCTGGCAACAACAGTTGCCATGCACCCCACCCAATAAAGTTTACATAATCATGGAACGTGCAAATTATTAGATGATAACAGAAAAACTTACTGAATTTACAAGGGTGAGTGAGAATGAATTTATTGATCATGAATAATAGGCAGGGTCTAAGTTGTATGCAGTTGGCCAAACATGTCTGCCAGTCCTGGAAGACATGCTGGACATCATCAGAACCACTGTTAATGAGCCAAAACGTTGGTCCCACAGCTCCGATTTAAGATGAGGGAACAAAAGAAAGTCGCATGGAGCAAGATCTGGGCTGTAAGAACACATATTTGACACTTTGTTGGGTCAAATATTGGGCAACAACATTAATAATGCAATCCCTTGCATTGCCAGAGTATAATATTAACCAGATAGATGAAGCTCAAGGCATTTTCATCAGATGTATTTGTCCAGGGTCTTCAAAACTGTCACGTGATACTGCCCAGTAACTGTTGTATTTGGGGGATTCTATGTTGGTATATCATTCCATATTAGTTGAAGAAGGAAATTATTATTACCTTTCCTGCAGACCAAACAACCTTGGTCTTCTTTGGCCATGAGAAATGTGTATCAAACTATCAACATCAAATGTGTGCCCCCCACACTATACAGCCTGGACCTTGCTCTGCATGACTGTTTTTTTTATTCCCTCATCTGAAAATGGAGCTGCAGGTCAGTGTTTTGGCTCACCAATGGCTGTTCTGAAAATGACATCAAAAGATGTCTGCCAGTCCTGGAAGATGTATGCACTAGGCCCAACATGGGTTCCAGCACAACTCAATGGAGACAACTTTGGAAAAAGCCATATCAACCTGAAACCTGCTTAATGTATTTTGTAAATAATAAATTCATTCCTGCTTGACTCACCCTCATAAATTTAGGTAAGCCCATCCATCCATTTAACTTGTGAAAAATATCATTTAACAAGGACGATAGCATTGAATGTAATTACAACCTAGCTTAAAATTAGAGTGAATGTTGTCAAATTTTTTCTTAAATCTTTACAGTCTACAATTATTACTGAGAAGTTTGTCATTTGGCAAAATCGAAAATAGAATGTATTCAAATGTGGTTGACTTAGAAATTGTTGTTCCACCACTAAAAAGCATTTTTTTTAGAGCTAGCGATGTATGGATATTGGATATTTTTATCTCGTTTCTTAATATTTTTGTTGAAGCACGTTATTACTAAGTTTAATCAGTAAGAAAGTAATACTTACTATTAGTGAGCGTGGGATTTCTATATAAAATTTTCTTTTCCGTCATATTATAGCCGCACGCCACTATGTAATGGCCTAGATGATAAAAAATTGGTTTATTTTTTAAATTAACATTTATGCAATAATAAAATTTGATGTAAACATTCTGTTACCTTGATAAGAGAACATGCAACACCAATTTAAAAGCTGAGGCACACACTGTAAGAAAATGTTATAATTATCTGTGTGCTAACATTCCATTAATAACAATAAACTAAAGTAATTTTATTTATATTAAATTAGTGCTTTACTGTGAAAGAAATCTGTTAATTAATAAATTATTTTAATTATATTAATGTTACTTAAGGTATCAGTTTAAAACCTGAGCTTATTCCACTGTAATAACATTTTCAGAAGTAAAGAATGTTCATCAGATTTGTATTTATGTTTTTTTAGTACTTTGAAAATGGGTACATCAGTCTTGGCCACGACCAATGCACTGATGAATGGTTTAATAAGCTTTTACTGGAATGTTGCAATCTAGCAAGATGGTAAAAGTTGTGGCATTTGCCGATTTATTTTGTCAAAATAACTTTGGGTTAATATGGATGAGTAGTAAAAATGGTGTTAATAATATGACAGAAGGAGGAGGCCACACTGCTTTGTCAGAGCTCACCAAATCCACAGCCTGATGAGTGCGGTGTGCATTGGTCACTGCACCTACAAACTCGTCAGAAAGTATCGGAATGCATTTCAGTATGTCGTGATTCACCTATGCACCGTTTGATGCCTACTGGAATGTATGCTACGTTAAAGTACTATTGAAATCATGAATTGCTTCTATAAATTATCTATTTTGATGTTGGCACTATAACCTAGAGAAGATGTAGAGGGAACTAAAAGTAATTTTCCAATTTTTAACCAATTATTTTTCAAATATAGTAGTGTCTTTGTAATCTGACAAATATCAGAATACTGGAATTTGGAATAAAAAAAATACAACTACAGTACATGGTTCACAAGTTAGTCACAGTTGTGATTAATATGATAAACTATTTTGCAAACCAGACATGCAAGAAACATCTAGCAACTGAAATAGTATATCACGTCTCTCTCTGTCACGTTGACAGGTGGAAACACAAAAATTTTGTATATCTACTCTGCAGAATGTTGGATTACTGAACATGACAGATGTAGAGACTACTTTATCTGTCTTTTATTAAACAGGAAACTTTTAAAAATGTTAATTACAAAAGTTTTGTAATAATTCTGTTGGCATTTAGTTATTCAGTACATTTTTATGGTATATAAAGAAAATAAGGAAAAAGCAAATGAAATTTTAAACTATTTCATACCTTAAAATGACATTTTTCACAATAAAGAAGATTTGCATTTACTAATATAATCGCCGGATTTCCTAATTGTAACTGTAACAATATTTCGGACAAATCCACAGACCTATAATAATAATACATAAAACATATATATATAATTAATTTCATAAAAAATAATTATAAATTACTCTTGAATTTATATTTAATTTGGAGAGAGAGATTAAATACATCAATCTTTACATTGTCATAAAAGTAAGACAATATTTAAACTAACGTTTAAGAAAAAACAAAAACTCCAGCGGACTTTTAATTCTACAAACTCATTTCGGAACCCTGACGGTCAGTGCCCAGGGCATATGCCCCTGCTGCCCCTTAGTTATGCCTCTGAACAAAAGGGTGCAAACAGTATATAATTTTAAAATTACTCAACTAGAATGCATTAAAATGTATCAAAACAAAGATGAGTGGTATGGATAACGAGACACGGCAGCTTGATAATTTATTCTATCCTATTCAATCAATTCGATCCATTGCTTATAATGGATTAAGCAAACTGACAAATTATTATCATTTTGTAAATTTGTTACTCATCAGACTTACTCTTCATCAAATTGTTCTTTATAAATCTTAGTGGCACTTAAAAAATTTTCTTTCTATTCATTTCTTCTTTTGCTATATTATTCAAAGGAAAAGACCGTGTTCATAAGTATACATATTCAAAGGACAATTCAAGACTGTCTTGAAAAGATGAAGCTTCCAAAACTATAAATAAACAAGAATATAAAGACACTTGAGTAACAAGCAGCACTACAGTAGTTAGTTATCGGTGTTAGTGTGTCTACAAAATTATTATTATTATTATATATATCATGCCAGTTAAGATTAACACAGTTATCTCAACAGAAATCAAACAAATATTTAGATATGATGTCAAATCCATCATCACAATCTCAAGATTTGGAAGTAGCATTATGACACTTAAATTTTAAAGCCTTTTATTAAAAATATTACTCTTACATTGTCTTGTATTCATTAATTTTCTACTTTAACTTTCTTTGAGTCAAGTTTTTAATAGTTTTGATTATTTCTAAGGGTAGACGAACAAACTGTTTAGATAGGTGTAGCATATATAATGTTACTAGCTATGTTTCACCCCAATTTTAACCATCATTACTAATTATAGTATATTTAGTGTTTTATGGAATGACTTCTGATAATATTACACATTAATGTTCATTATCATTAACTACAGTTATGTATTCTAGTAAATGTCAACAACTACCTACTCTTATCCTTACTCCTATAACATAATGAAGAGTTTGTCTGGTTTCAAGATGTATGACTGTTGCTAAACTTGATTTATTGATACTTATTTATTTAGTTTTGTAAAATAAACTCATTAACAATTTAGAAACGATAATTAATTATACCTCAATTGTACATTGACTCCGATTTCCGTCGCACGAGAGAATTTTTCGCTGACCCGTTGTTCGTCTCTCGAAAGAACTTGCTCGTAAAATGTCTACAAAATTTATAACGTTAACAATAATCAAGAACAGAAGACATAAATAAATAACAAATATCAGACTAAATTATCATATTTCCAGACTATGTTAAGGTTAATTTAATTAAAGATAGTAATTTTAATGTCATCATGTGTAGAGATTAATTGTTTAATTCAAAATTACTTTCTAAAAATTTGAGAATTCTGAACAAGTTGATCTGAAATGGGACTCAAATCCACAATTACTATATATCAAACAAACATGTTAATTTAAAATTAATATAAACAGGTTAAGGCTACATAATGCTCACAGGACTTTATCAATTCATAAATTCACAATGCTTAGTAAAGTAATTATACCCAAGTAACTGATGAGTGCAGGTAGCTACAGTTATGAATGTGATATATAGTTATTCTAAAGTAAACATGCACTACAAGACAAGACTGCTTGTGGTGCACCAAGCAGTAAAACTTGAAAGTTAACACATCTATCTTGAAAACAATGCATGATATGGAAAAACAGCATGACTGATTTAGTACACCCTGGGTCATGAATAGTGTGAATAAAAATTGTATTTCTTATGTTCATTTGTAATGTGAATTTCTTGTTTTCCTACGTCTTCATGTAGCATTCATTACTGTATATCATATATTGTTCATCACTCACATATCAGTAGGAGTGCCTGTACATTGGGGACATGCTCCCTTTGTCTTGGTTGACCTTTTCCTAATCCCCAAGGTGACCATAAACAACAGAAAATTCGTGACTTATAACCTATTCTGCAAATATAAAAGAAACTAATGAATGATATTTATCCATTGACCCTTGCAACTTTGTCATATGTTGACCAAAACCCCATTCCCTGTTTTCAAGTTAGTACAACCAGCACCAGGGCCCTTAGTCTCGAGTTTTTCGTGTTACAACTCCCAATGTGTTGAAGGTGTCATGTGGTACCATCTCACACTCTGACGTCAAATTGGTAGTCTCCAGTTCTAACTCACGTGATTTCCCATCTCACCGTGTGAGTTGCTACTCACGTTGAGTCGAGCATGTGAGATCGCTACACGAAAGTGAAAATGGCTGACGGATACGCAATTCTTTTTGCTATCGAAGAGTTAAAAAGAGCCAAAAGACGTTGTTTGAGAAGACAACGAATTTTTCAACCACAAGAAGATGACATTTCTTTTAGTGTCAAGTCAATACTAATAAAAAAATTTTAATTCATAATTGATAAAATTATACAGAAGAAAACTATATGAAGAAAGGATTAAATTAAAATACATTTTCCATTACATAATGGATTTTTTAGCTCCAACACACGCAATTAATTTTTTAAACTAATTCTCTCCACAAAGCAAATTGTCTTTTTCTTGTAAATTTATTGTCGAATTTTTCACTGTTTCACTTCATTTTCTTATTATTTTCTACATATGTTACTAATATTTCTTTTTGTTCTTCGCTTATTTTTTAAAATAAAACATTGGACGTTTTCATTTTGTTTCTTCGTACTATATTGCTATAAGACAACTTTTAACTGTAGCACATGTAAACTAATTCACATCGATTTGTTTACAACTTGTTATAGTTAAGTTGATTGGTCGATTCATTATAGTCGCAAACCCAGATGCATTGTAAATAATCCCATCATGCTTAACGACACACGCAACCAAGTGAGTATGATGTATTTCTGCTCGCCTTTCGAGTTTGCTCGAAGAGTCTAACTTGAGACTACCGATTATGCGAGTCATAGTAACACGAGTGAGTTCGATGAAGTCAGTTCGAGTACAACACGAAAAACTCAAGAATACGGTCTCATGTTGTGGCAGCACTGATCCAATGTTGAATCATAGAGTTTGAAGTTCTTTGTGCAATGTTCAATGCCTTTTTTTTTTATAGCTTTCACTCCCTTTTTCATAGTTTGTGGGTGCTGCTGCTTGTCAGTGTATAAGGACTTTACTATGTACCTGGTATACATATATTTTAATCTCTATACATGGATTGCAATATAACAAATATAGCAGATTATGTTTAATAATTGATTTAGGCATCATTTGTATTGCTAGTAATTAGCAAATATCTGAAAATTTTATTTTTATTAATGTGATATGACAATTTTAAAAAGTACATACTGTAAATAGTATTTTCAACTTAAAAGTGTAAACATAAGAAGGAGCTTACCTCTCTAGTATAACCAGGATTAACACCCCAGGTTATGGTACAGTACAGATGACGAATGCCAAATCTTAACAACAGATACGCTAAGTCAATAGTCCATGTACTAAGAAAACATCAGACAAGTTTATTATAATAAAACTTCATTTAAGTTTGTTTTAAATAATAATAATATTGATAATATACTGAAATAAAACTTAACATTATTCAGAAAATACTACACATTATTATGTTATAAATACTTTTGTAAGATATAGTATCTTCCAAAAAGAATGCTATCATTTTAATTATTGTAATTATGTTAATTATTACCATACAATGTTGTACACTGAAATATTAGAAAACTATTCAAGTTTCACATTTGTCCATCGCACTTTCTCAATGTGTGTACCTCATGTCACATGGCGCACACACCCAACCAATACTCAAATTCTTCTATGCTTGCTACAGTATATCAATTGTCACTCCTTCCACAGCAGCCACAATTCTACAGCTCCTGCATACTACATGTGTTGCACAATGACAAGTAACTCTGACTTTGCAAGCTGAAGAAAACAAAATGCTTTCTCTTGCAAAGTTCCAATTTTCGTAACAGCACTTTCTAAAGGTTACATAGATGACAAGACAGTTGAATGCAGATGGGAGATGAAACTTGGATAGTTACTCCATCAATTGGTGTATGTAGCACACTTCTCAGATAATTAACTTCACGACACCCAGGCAAATTTGAATTAGAGGTCTCCATGTACAGTGTTGACTTAAGACATTATATTTTTAGGAAATTTTTTTGGCAAATATTTTCTATAAAAGATTAGTTTGGGGTCCCCTGTTTGTGGGGGTCCCAGAAAATTGCCTATTTTACCCAAAGGATAATACACCATAGAGAATTTTCTTGAAAAATTTTCAAAATCCAAGTTGTTTTAAATCCTTCAATGTTTCAATATATATTTCATCCTGAATTTCAAAAAATGGTGTTAGTTCTTTATCGGATAAGACTTTCTAAGTATGAAAATCTGAACAAACTCTCTGTTATTTGGTTATTTTTGGCTAAACCAAAACTACTTTTGATTCTCAACTTTTTAAAATTTTCTGGCTTTTGTTGTTACTTATCAACAAAACAGCTTTTATGTATATCAACTACTATACTACTAGAGCAGCAAGCTATGTGGTAACTTTGATAGTACTGTACTAGAAGAAATTTTATTTTTTTAGTACTATCAAAGCCGATAGTACTTTGATGGTTGTCAAAGACATTTCATAAAATAAATATCTTATAACCTATGCATATAGTTTATCTATATGCATATAGTTTATCTATATGCATATAGTTTATCTATATGCATAGGCTATAGTGTACATTTTTTAATTTGCAGATATAAGTACTCTGACACAGAAATGGATGAGAAGATTAAGTGTCAGAGGTATAGTTCTTCTTGGCTAAAGTCACTTGTTTTCTCTTACGGCTAATTAACATCACTACGAATTTTTGCTTGACACTGGCTATCTTATATCGAAGAGACTTCGAAAATGATGTGCAAATGTACAGCACAATGTATGTATATCATTTATCTGTCATAAGGAAGTTAAGCATTAAATAACATTGGTTGTTGCAGAAGAAAGCAATGAGAACACCTATAAATATTTTGGGTTATTATTTGGGTCTAATTAATCTAATGCAACTGATGAAGTTGTGTTAGATGAAGTTCCTTTTATGGAAAAAACTAGTTTATTTAGCATTATTTTGACTTTAAATCTGAACTATAAAGTTAATTCCAGTTTGCTGGCTCAGTTGATCATATGCTTGTTAAATGACTATTGATTTTATACTGGATAAATCCTGGAATTAATTTATAAGTCTGCAAAATTTGGAATGAACAGAAATTAAAACTAAACACCATACGCATAGTTTAACAGCGAATAATACGTATTGGAATCAATTAAAACCGAAACATTTTCGGTCTTTTTCATCAAGAATCAATCACTATAGAATGTTAGCAGAGATTCTAAATTTAGAATGTTTTTACAAGTATGTTCTTTTGACATCATCTCATTTGAATGCTTAACAATTTTTACATGTATAATTATCTCTGCTAATATTCTATAATGATTGACATTATTATTATACAAATTATTTGCTGGAAGACTGCATGTATGGTGTTTAGTTTTAATCTGGGATTAATTACTGAAAATAAACAACTCGAAATAAAATATTACCAATAAAGATAAGTCCAAACTTATTTTTGGAAATTTATTTAATTAATAAAAATAATCATTTAGTCATTTTAATTCGCAACTGAATAAAAACAAAATAACTCAAGGAATATTGAAAATCTACAGATAACAACAACATACAACAATAACACTATTCCTTCTTTAAAAAGTGCACATCTTTGGCAGGGTAATTATCAAGAGTGTTATCATAACATCAATTAATGAATTGATTAGTCATGTAGAGAGATATTGTCATTCTCCAATCTTGTCATTTCAAAAATTATAGCAGCAAGCCTTCATATATCTGAGAATAGCCTTGAGGGCTGAATTTCAAAGGGGGTTTATTTATGTAAATATTCAGTATATGTATATTCCAATAAAGATTAAAAATCATAAAATATGCTTAACACAACTTTAGATGAACAGTTACTACATAATAAAAATCATTTAAAGTAAATACCTTTTTTCAAATTCTTCTTCAGATGAAATTTTTTCTAAATTTTCTAATAAATACTTTTGATCTTCTTCACTTAAAAACAAAAGAATGTGTATTATATTAAATGATATAACTTATTTACAATTATGCAGTTTTTAGCAAACATTTATTATATCTTTACATAATTGCTAAATTAATATTTTACAGTATTCAAAGTTAAATTAAGTTGAATACCTTTTGAAGAATAAAGATTGACCGGTATGCCAATGCTATTGTCAAATTCTAAGTGTAACATGGTTATTGGTTAAATAAAATACATTTAGTAATGAATGAGACTGTTGCAAGCAGACCAGTGCCTCAGACAAAATACAGCATAATAATGGTATATGTACAGTAAGACTCTGCTTTAACATGGGGATATGTTCCTAAACGACAAAGCGCTAAACGAAGCAGCGGTAAACATGGTCATTTTAACACAGAGTAAATAGGGAAAGATGAACGTGCGACCAAAAATAAACAGATTTTACTTTAATTTCAATTAATTTTTATATTAATTTGCATAATAATATATGTTGAATAAGACAAACATATGCCCACAGAAAAAACAAAGTTTATTTTTGTAACAAAGATCCTGGCTCTTCTGAAATTCTTGTTTTTTGCAATAAAGTCATGTAGTTTCATTTGTCTCTTTTTCTTTCCTTAAGCAAATGTCAGTAGTAAGAGATCGCGTCCAAAACACCTCATCTTGCTTTTGCCACTCCTTTCAAAATCTGGATCATTCGCTACAGTTTGATCAGCGATTTTGATTATCATTACCAAACTTTTACTAAGGAAATCTGTAACAAGTTCTTTGGGTTCTTCATTTTCAGAATCATTATTTTCCAGTTCTACATGAATTCCTTGTTTTGCCGGTTCTTTTGCCATTGGTAAAGCTCACACCAAAAACCTGCAGTAACTCCTCAATATCCTTCTTGTCTACATCTCCTAGTCCTGCTGTAATAGGCTTTTCTCGTTGAGAATTCTTGGATACTTCCCACCATAAGTTCTTTCATATTTCGTTCATGCATTTATCACTTAATTCTTGCCAAGCAAAGTTGATATTGACTGGCATCCATGATGTTATATTTTTTCCAAAATTGCACCAAACAAACATAGATTTAAAAAAAGTACAGTGGTATGATGAATTGCCAGCTTTTGCTGATTGGCTCACATTTGGGAATAATTGTATTATATATAATTCAATGAAATGCCACGCTAATTTGAATCAATGTAGATTTTGAGCTTTTCTTTTTTAGGCTTCGAGCAGACCACGTTATATCGAATTAGCGTTAATTGAGGCAGCATTAAGCAGGGTCTTACTGTATCACTACATATGTATTATATGTATCATTTGTAAACGATGTATCATTTATGTATAATTAAATTACATTAACTTAAGAATGCATTCAGTGCTTTAAATTTATTACAGTGAAAAAATTAATAGAAAAAATAAATAAATTTACCACAAACATTTAAAAGCATTATGACTGAAGGATAGGATTACAAGACACATTGAGAAAAAGAAGGACAACAGCCGGTGGGAAAGTTCTCATATACTTTTAGATTTTTCTGATACAGATTATTATTAAATTTTTCTATGAAAAGAGGTATATACTGATTGTACTATCATGGGAGAAGGAGGTTTGTTATTTCATTTAAGCTGAGTATGATAAAATATCCTTTCCAATTTGTCAATCCCAAATGTTGTCGCTGAATAAATGTCTACAGCATTTTACGAAGTTGAATATTTGAGCTATCTACTTGCAACACCAGATAAATCCATATTTTTTCTAAATAGTGAAAAACAGTAATAAGAAATATGTTCAATCTTATCATGAAATCAGATTTATCCAAAACCAGTTAGATCCAGCTTAATTATATGGTTGAATGTATGGATATTTTTCAAAATTAGCTACATCTGCCATAATGATTGTTTTTTAGTGGCTACATCCAAGATACAGACATTTGCAGAGCCAGCAAGACCTCCTACGAAGCCAGTGCTAGAGTGGGCCTTTTTGCCCCTTAGTGAATTCCTTTTGCCATTTTGGTTTTTGAACAAATAAAATTCATAGAATGTTTCTTTATGAATAAAAAGTAGTCTTAAAGATTTTATTTTCTGTCTGTAAAAGTAACAGTAAATGTAAGAGTAAGAACATTACAAGCCCTTACTTTTCTCTGGACTGAAGAAAATTTCCAGCTCTCTTTCTTAATGGTCCTGGATGTTTGACATCTGATAAGTTACGAAATCTTCCTTTCCCACTAAAAGATTTATTTTAATGAAATCAAGAAGGAATGTGGTTCTGATACAAGGCAAAAAGAAACTGAAGTTCCAACTAGTTTGATGAAACATGGAAAACAAAGTGTAAACATATACTTGACAGTGACACTGCAAGGCAACAGGAAACAATACGAGAAGCGACTATTTTGGCTTATTTTGTAAATTTACTTAATATTGACTAAGCCAGTTTTGCAAATAGATCATTCACTTGACTAATATATTCAGTCAAAATAGCCAAACTTAATTCCAACTCTTTGGCATTCTACGGTCTCATAATATTTCTAGTTTCTACCTAAAGCTATAAATAATGGCTTTATGTATAAGCCAGTATTATAATGTTTGTTTAGTCATCCTACGTTAATTTATTATTTATTTGATGAGTACTCAAGATTGTGATATGTTCTTAATAAAAGTTTGAAAAACTAAACATGCGAATAATAAACTCAGACAAAATAGAGTATCTATATCCCATTCAACAAAAGATGAGTTTGGCGAGGTCCTGATAGACTGTAATGGTTTGGCTATCCATAAAGACAGTATTTTTCAATCTTTTTTCTAATAGTAACACTCAAAAATTTTTTTTGTGGCCCTCCTTCTTCTTTATCAATGTAAAGTTTCTTTGCTTTTAGTGCTTTTAGTAGTTTTAGTAATACATGTGAGAAGTGTTATGGCATAGCTCAGCACTATAATTTGCAGCACTGGAACCCACCATAATAATGCTTTTGTTTAACAAGAGAACAGAGAAAATGTATTAATGTATAAAATGTTGTAACATATAAATCTTTATTTTTTGTATCAAATTAATTTATATCACAATAATCTTCTTATAATGATAATTATATTATTCTAAATACCAATAATATTTGAAGGTGGAACTTCACCAATATATCAAGACATTAAAATATCTTTCATATTGACATCAGGATTTTAAATAGAATCTCCATTTAAAAACACATCAAAAGCTTAACAATTAGGCCAAAAACATTTGTTTTGATTATATTTAGTTGCAGGAAAAGTATGAAAGGTGTTTAGTGTCTTGGCATTCTACATACTAGAAATTGGTACGTACCACAAGACCATCATCACGGCCGAAACGCCGCAGTCCCAATTATACCTCTGTCGAACATGAAATAAAGGTATTTCGATTTTCGATGGAATCTTCTGATTTGAAATGTCTCTGTAATTACCATTTTCTTGCTCCATTCAGTTGTTTTAATAAAATTAATTCATAAGCTCAATGTTTTAATACTCATAATCAAACTTGACCTAAAAAAATAAAATTTTTTATTAAATGCATTTGAAACTCTCATTTTAAATATCATATTATATAAATATTATAAATATGAAACAATAATTCATTTTTCTTCACATATTATGGTTTGACGATTCAATTATTAATAATGTATAATGAAATAATCCTATAAATATATGGAAATTTTGCTTGAGAATCCAGATTATATTCGTGCGATCCTTTGTAATATTAACAAGATACTACAAAGGATTGCATGGCTACAGAAAAGAATGATTTAAATTAATGGTTTTTCATAATTATACAGTTCACGTACGGCTTAAACTGAGCCACACATTAACCACAGACTACTCTATCTGTCTCTTATCCTGTAAAAACTAAAGCATACATCACACAAAATTCATACATTACAGCACTGATCAATGTATTCTATATTGAAAAATCCATAAATTATAGCACTACTTGTCCTCTATAAGGCATATTAAGTGCCATCGTTTATATCTATTAAAATGTGTCTTAAGAAGGATTCAAAAAATACTCAAGATTTCTCACAAACTACGAGCCTGTAAGGTAATATCTCTCCCATTTCTGTACATTCCCAGCTGTTTCTAGAAATAAATGATAAGAGGTCAAGGCTGACGATGAGGCATTAAAGACAAATTTGGATCCATCTGCCATTTCAACAGATACAAATTGAAGCATAGGTTGGATTCTTCGAGAATACTCTATACATTTCGAACTACTTCTAGAAACGGAACTTCAATTTACAACACAGAGCCAAGGGTAAATTACTGTTTGACTTACAACAGCTTGCTTAACATCGATTAAATTGTAAAAACATAGATTATGACTTAATCAGAACCGATAAAATTTTTATCTGCTCTGATTGTCGTAACCCAATTGAAATAGATCTAGGAACTGATTAGATTGTAAAAACATAGATCTACTGTAATATGTATGTATGCATCACTTAATGACAGATAAGATTATAATGGAGCTGAAAAATTTGTTTCTACATTTAGATATGTTACAACTGTGTTATGTATATTGTACACGAGTACTAGACTATAATACACAAGGTTTGTCTATGTAAACTCTAGGGTTGCCTTGCATTTGTTCCAACTGCCATCTAGCGACAGGAAGAATTTACTCTAAAAACTGTACCTACAATAAAATATCTTTGCATAAGATATGTCGGTGCCAGAAGTTAAAGCAACAAATATAAAACTTGTGTAAAATCAACACCATGAAACATTGAATAACTGAAACTTACATTAAATGTAAACCAGCAATCACGCAACTGTCAATGACGCAAGATGCACCGCATGCTTAAGAAAAAGTTTGAACTGTCAATATACTTTTTATATGAAAACAAACATGCCAATAATAATTTATTTTAACATGTAAACTCTTTTATCATTTGTGTTTGTCTTTACGTTGACAGCTAGCGGCTAGCCATTTTAAGTCAGTGCAATGCTTGCGGGAATTCAATTGCTTGCTCGTGTGGAGGTTTGCCGCAGCAAACAAGTGCGTGCGCATGTCGTCATTTGAAGCATTTAACATGGCCAGATTGTATTGAAAGCTTGCAGTACCCAGTCAGCATACATGTATTGTGTACAGAGGCAAATCTACATAGGGACTAATAGGGCTTAAGATTTGGGCTCCCAGTGTCAAGGGCCCACAAAAGTTGAATTATCATCATAAATTTTTAATACTTTTTCATTGTAATATATTTCGTGTATAGATATAATGGGCTTTATAATAGTCCATACTTTTTTATCACATCAAATAATGTTTCTGCCTACTGTTTTAGTGCTAGAGATAGGCATATTATTCTTATAACTTTCAGCACGCTCAAAAATTTTGGTCAGGATTTGCCCCTGCGGTATATATACAGTGATTTGACAATCAATCATCTGCTAGGACAGCTAACAGCAAGGAAGTGTTTCTGACACACTGGTTGCTTACTAGGATTGCCTCAGAGAAGACATTTGGGTGATTTGTTACAATGAGGTTTTGCCATGTACATTTGTGTGGGTTACTTTACTCTTGGGCATGAGTGTATGTAAACATCCCATAATAATATAATCATTTGTAGCATCTTATCATTATAACTTGACCAACTTGTTTCTTTTCTTAGCTCATTCTCAGGTGTAAAATTGAAAAAATTCAAATATTGAAGCATTATTAAATCAGAATAGAATTAAATCAAAGACAGTAATAAAATACGAAATATGGATTTCCCATCTTAAAAACTATACTTCTATTTTCAATGATTTAATTAATTAATGAATATTTATAAACACTTTTTAGTTTATTAGTGTATGGCAATATGACACATGGGCAATCTGCCAAGAGGAATGTCTCCCAGGAGATCTTTTATGAAAAAAAAATGGCTCCTATTTAGGTGTTACTAACATGAAGAAAACCCAGAAAATTCCACATAACCAGTCCATTGGCCAGGCGTGATCCCGCAACAAACTACTAACATCCAGTGGTTTTATCCGCTCGGCCACTGATGGGCATGACTTATAAACAACTAGATGACTAAAAAAGTAAAGGCATTAGACTGCTGTTCTAAAGGACCAAGAAATTTTTGTAGTAGTTTGATTCGGATATGTCAATTACATTTAGGTCCATAGCCAGGAATTTGGAGGATAAAGGGATAAATTGAAAAAATTGTAACTGATATTTTTTTCTTTTTTTTAGCCAGAACTTAGCCATTTAGCTACAATTCAAGTGTAAAAATAAATAACAGTAGCTTAACTTTATCATGAAAACAAAAGCGTGTATTATATATTGCACTTAGACACTAACGACTAAGCTGAGGGAGCTACGCATCTGGGTCATCTCTCCTCATATGGCTGATCCCATTGAAGTATCGTCAAAACTGTGGCAGGCACAAAAGATACTCTTAGTTCCTACAATGTGAAAAAAGTCAAAAATATGGTGTTTATAATTTTTTTAAATTCATTATTGTTCTTTACTTTAAACAAAAAAGTGATTTGATTTAATGATTTTTGTATAATCTTGTATCATGATGCTGTTAATACTCTGTTATATCATCCTGATGATAGATATAATGATGTTCAAAAATTTAAATAAATATTTTTGTTCCAGAAAACAATGTTTACAGTATGCATTTCTTTTTATTTATAATTTTAGTTCATTTAATTCAGTTCGTTTCATTTAGTTTATTAAATTTTTTATTCTTATTACATCTGCACAAAGACATTTTCTATCTGTATTGACTAATTGTCTAAAATTTTTGCATAATATTACTTGTATGCTGTACAAAATACAAACAAGATATTCTGCATAATTTATAGCTGGCATAAATCTCTCTAATTTTAATTAAAAACACTAAATCCATAAACCAGCAAATTTTTATAAAAAGTGCAAATGTTTTCACCTGTGGTATCGTCTTTTGCAATTTCACACCAAAAACGGTGCTACCACATTACCCAGCTAGTTGTCGAATTCATCCATAAGCTCCTTGTTAGTAGCCAGCCAGACCTTCATCCTGCTAAAGAGATGGTAATTGCTTGGTGCCATGCCTGGGCTGTAATAGAGTGGTCAAAAATCTCCCAGTCAAACTGCTCGAAAAAAGACTTTGTACAAACTGCAATGTGAGGCTGCATATTGCAGTGGAAAAGAATAATGCCCTTGTTGAGCAATCACACTTTGTTTTGGATTAACTTCTGAAGCTTCGTCACTATTTATTTCACACTGAATCTCTGATGTAATTGTGATCCCTGGTGACATGAATTCTATCAAGAAAATTCCTGCACAGACCTATAAGATTGTGGCCATTATTTTTCAGTTAAAAAGTGTTTGTTTGAATTTCATGAGCTTGTTTGGAGAATGAGTATAAATCCACTGTTTCTTCATCTCTGTATTCAGGAACTAAATCAGTGTTTTATTGTCTTATCCCCAGTCACAGTTGTCAAGAAATTCATTCTCTTCTTTCCAGTAGCACAGAATAGATTCAAGTTGAATCCATTCTTTGATATTTGTAAACAGCAGTCATTATTTATAATGCTGCTGTTTACAAATACCATATACATGATACAATTGATGATGGATTCTTCTGCTTGTAGAAACCATATCGTATCACAGACCTCACAGCTGACAGGAATGGTGAAGAAGGATTCATGTTTACTTGTTCTCAAATGAAAGTAACAGGATGGTGAATTAGCATTAAGTAACATAAAACCTTTACTAATTCTATATACAATATGACAAATGGCTGTGGCAAACAGTTTAAATTTACCAGTAAATTGGAGGTAGGTTTCAGAATAGCACTCGTACAATTAGAACTGAAAATATAATTTTTTATTCTACACTTATGTTGTTATATTTTTGCTTTAAACTTATTTAATTTGTATAAAAACTTTTTAAATGTCAGTTTCATTATTTACATAAGGGTAAATAATTAAACTCACATTTAAAACATAAACAGAATTAGCTTATAAAAATTAAAAATATATCTTCTATGAGATAAATTATGTTTAGGAGATGACCTGGCCTTGGAAGTTCTAGATTCAATCATCAGATGAGCTTTTCTTTTTGACAGTAAAGGTGAGAGAACCTGCTGCTCTGGAAAACCTGGATTTGTGTCCAAGTTGGATCCTCGGAAATTTATGAGAACGATTTGACTCAAATACAATATGTTAGATCCTATCCCTTGCTAATTGACTACACACATTGAGTGTCTCCTGAATTTATGATAAGCACCAAAAAACCTTTAGTACTCACAGGATAGAGAGGGTTTAAAGAAAAAAGTCTTTTAAAAATTAAAGTAATTATACAATGTTTTCCTTCATTTTTCAGTTCTAATCTGTCCTCAATAATCACATAAGCAATCAAATATGTTGCCTGTTGAATATCTGATGTTTTAGTATACAAAATTATTATTATTATTAAATAAATATCTGCCATAAGAAACTAAACATTAAGCAATTGTAAAAATTGTTTGGATCAGAGCTAATCTTAGGACCTTACACCCTCACTCAAT